TAAAGGTGAAATTATAAGGATCTAAATAACAAACATCATTCAATCTTCTTGAAACTATATGGACTAAACATACTTAAAAAAATTATAGAGACTAAAAGCAAAACTCGATAAAACTATAAAGACTAATAATTGTGCTTTCTTAAATAAAATATACTCCAAAGAACATCCATAATAGTCTCCCATTAAAAAAGACTAAAAATACTAAAATTATAGGGACCTGAGTGACAAATGTCACCCAACCTTATTGAAATTATAGGGACTGACAATACTTAAAAAATTATAAAAATTAAAAGAAAAATCTCATGAAACTACAAGGACTGATAATCGTGTTTTTTCAAACAAAATCTACTCCAAAGAACATCCATAATAGTTTCCTATTAAAAAATACTCTCCTCTGTTAAAAAATGAAGGTATTTTTTGATAAGTTTGATGTTAAAAAATGTAAAGTATTTTTAATCTTTTGAAATGTAATCATTGTCTTTTTTTTTAAAGTACCCCTAATGATGAATAACTTTATATTTATTGTAGGGTATTTAATAGAGATAAATATGAAAAGATAAGGTTAGTTTGAAAGTAGGTAATTAATTTATTGAAAGTGAAATTTAATTAAAAATATCTTATATTTTTGAATGGAGGGAGTATAAAATATTGTTTCTGAAATTATATATTAAAAAATATAATGCATTTTTATTTTTTCAGTGGGTAAATACTGAGTTTTATTCAAAAATATTCTTAATAAATAAATCACTTAACTCTTCACCTTTAAACGAGACATCCTATTAAATCAGAACAAATATAATAATATGATATTGGTTTAAAAATAATTAATTAATTTATTGAGAGAATAATTCAATTAAAACTATCTTATATTTTTAAAATGGAGTTGTGCGTTGCTGTAACCCAAGTCATGTGAATGGAACTGGGAGGGAAGCATGAACAGAAGTAACAGATCAACTTTATAACTGAGATTCTCCTACCTTACTTTCCAGTGGCCAAGTAAACCCAGTTTTTCTGCTGATATTATTACCCCGACTTTGTCTTCTCTCGCTACAGACAATCACTAGTCGTTCTGAAGGGCCCATTATCACGCGTTACACCCTCCCTCTTCTGTGACTATAAATATGCACTGTTGTACTCTGTCGATGCTCATCAGATACTGAAGCAACCTTGAGTTAAAATGGCTTCCCCAAAATTGGTCTGTTTGCTTCTCATGCTTCTTCTTCTTCTGGCCTCTAATGGCGACATGGCGAGTTCAGCCAGATTTCACAGCTCAGCTAAAGAGCAAGATGGTTTTCATTCTAGAAGATTCTTCGTCCCTAATAAGAAGATCAGCTTAAGCGGCTTGGAAGATGCCTTCAGTTTACTTCCTAAAGGCTTTCCGATTCCTCCTTCGGGCCCTTCCAACCGTCAGAACGGACATGCTCATTCTGGTGCGCCCAATGGGACCAACTGATTATATAATATATATATATATATATATAGCCAGAGCTATTTAGCTAATTTCCTTGAGCTTCTGTATGTTTCTGTATTGTCAAAGAAGGGAAAATGATGTGTTTTTCATATACATCCTGTATGTTTCTCAAATTCCATTATCTGTAGTTACAGAATCTTAAGGAATGAATTGAAGAGTTTGGAATATTCTTATGTTCTTCCCATCTTCTTGTTCTTCTTCTTCTTCCTCCTGTGTGGATTAACTTGTGATCTTCACAGTCGACAGAGCGCACACATAAAATTTCAGTCATGGCGTTAACGTTGACAAAAAGCAAACCCCGAGGCCGATTGTCCCTTTGGGAGTTCTATAACGCACCTTCCTTCTCTGAATATCGGAGTCACAGTTGACATGTGACTGCATTGAATTGAATATAACTAGCATTGAATAATTTGGATATATATATAAATATATTGAACCATGCAGTTTAATTTGCAATTTTAAATATGTTATATGAGATGAGGCATTGAATAATTGAGAGTTGTAGTTTAGTTAATGTTTAGGCCAGATTAATTAAGTACTTGTCAAACATATCTTAATTAATTCCTTGTGAGTTAAAAAACAAAATTAAAGGACAAGAAGTATTGTAACGTTTAGATGTTAATTGAGTGTTATAGTTTGAAATTCTGTGTTAATAATGTGATTGTGGAGATAATAATACTCTCTCGTTCTTAATATAAGATGAACTTAACTAACTTTATATCTTAAAAGTGTTAAAAAAATATGTAACTTTTTATTTTTGCACTTTTTTTACAATTATTAATCATAATAAATTATCTAGGATAATTCAAACAATAATAAATAAACAAGATGTAAAATCGAAAACAGTAATAAATATTAACTTCATCTTATATGAAGGACTTATAAGAAAAGATTTTAAAGTTTGCTTTGCATTAAAAAAACAGGGAGAGTATATCAACAAAATCAATTCTGATCTCAAAATTAAAAAAATCACGATTAACAAGTGTCAGCTGTCACATGAAAAGAGTTCTCGTCGTTTAGCCATGAGGTCTCAAATCAAGAACAGATCTGGAATTGAACCCATGGGGTGCTACATGCAAAACAACATTATAATTGGGGCGCAAAAATTAGCTTTAGCATTTTTAACAAAGAAAAGCTAAATTCGTCCATCTCAAATTTGAGAATGCATAAATACAAAGGGCATCTATAAAAGAGTTATTCCCTCCTAATTAAAATATAGAGTATTGATAATGAATTCTCAATTCTTAAAAATGTTGGTTGAAATCTTATTTTTTTAAAAAATTATATTTTTTAATTATATCCTTATTAAATACCGTTATATAAAAGCCATAATAATAATAATAATTAAAACTTTAATGCATGAATATTTTTGTAAAAATAGTAATAAATGAAACAAGGGTATAGTTAAAAAAATAATTATAAAAGTTATTCAATATCTTATATTTTAAATTAAGTAAGGTTTTTAAAAAATATTTTATGTTATGGTTTAAAAAGAGTATTATCAATCCGACATGGCAATGTTCAAAACTTCAAATATAACCCAGTCATTTATTATATAAAAAATATAGAGATATTGATAGTAACAAAAGTACAAAATTCTTGTATTGATAACAGATCAGCTTAAACCGGCCATGCTTATGTAAGGTGGGGGTCAAAGTCTTTTTTTTCCCCCCTTTCAACTGAACCATCTTGCATCGATGTAAATATGAGATTTAAATGAGACTTACAGAAAGGCATTAACTATAATTTAAATAAAAGAAATTCGTGGAAACGTTTTGATCAGTATAAAAAAATGAAATATATTTATAGAGTGTCTGACTGTTTACAAATAACCAATTGGGTTTTAGAATATAGTATGATTAGTAAGAGCATCAAGATATGGAAGCTGGGGACCGCGCGTGGATTATCCTTCACACCATGGGTTAAAGAACCCTGCAACTAACACATATTTCGATTTAAAAATTTGGGCTCTTCTATGGACAAACTCCTTTTGTCAAAAACGGAAAAAAGGTTAACTTTTTATTATTTATAATTGCACGCTTTTATATATGTTATATTATAAGAAAAGCAAGAAATCAACCTTGGAATAAGTTTTATGATATATATATATATTGATATTAATTTAATACTTTAACAATTAAAGAATTTAACTATTTAGAAGATCCAATCCTCTTTGATAAGCTTGGTTGTTTGGAGCAACATGTAAATAAAAAAAAATTACATATAGGTTTCATAGGCATATTTATTTATAATAAATTTCATAAAATTTAAAAATAATAATTAAATCTCAAGAGATTTGAGTGTAATTTAAAATTAGAATGTAAAGACAATACTTCCCTTACTTATTACATTTAAATAATCGGTTTAACTATTTGAAATAAATTGTAAAAAGTTGAAGTGTTAATTATAAATTACTAATAAAATAATCATAAATAATAATATTAAATTTTGTTAGTAATATAATGCATAGTCGGTTTGAATATTAGATATGTAAAATTATAGTTATAAAATATTGAAGTGATAGTTATAAATTATTGAAGAGATAGTTGTAAATAATTAGTGTTGAACTTTATTAGTAATGCATTATCAATTTAACTATTAAATATGTGAGTTATAATTATAAAATATTGAAGTGATAATTATAAATTACTGATGATATAATTGTATATAGTTAGTATTAAACTTGTAATTAATACCTGATCGATTTAATTATTAAGTATATGAAGTTACAATTATAAAAAATTAAAATAATAATTATAAATTTCTCAGGAACCTGCTTGTGGTTTTTTAATTTTGTAGGATTTACTTGTAAATAAGTCTATTCTAAAGATTTATATGTTATTTTTTCCTTTAAAAAACAGCTTAATTAATTAAATTATATATAACATAACTTTGTCATATATTTTATATGACATGAAAAATTAAATATACTTTTGGATATTGAATAGTGATATATATTAATATTGATATTTAGTATTGATGATTTTTTTTAGGTCAAAGGATGATATATTATAATTTATATTGATTTATATTTTTATTGGTTTCTTATAGCGAAAAGGAAAAGATGGCGCAGCCTGAAACCTTGGCAATCAGTAATGACAGATAGACACTATAGAACTTGGAACTAGAAACAAAACAACAAAGAAGAACAAGTCACCATCGGCAAAATTTGACAGGAGACGTCAGAATAAAAACTTGTAAATATCTTGCCCAATTTATTTAGACACTGAAAGACCTTTTTTTTTTTTTTTTTGCCAACATTGAAAGGCAAATCTCATCTCTCTTTTTTATTTTGACGTCCAGAAGAACACACAGTAAAAAAAAAAAAAAAGATTTGATGCCGAAAAACATACAAGGCCTGAATCAAAATCAACGAGCCCCTGAGCCAGCAACTTAGCCAGCCAGTGAAAATTTTGGTTTCTTGGACCAATAAAACTTCAGAAGGAAAGAAAATCCCAGAACACGAAGGATTAACAACATGAAGACGAAGCAGGCACTGTCTGCAGAATTAATTACGGAACTCACAAGAAGAAAGATATAATCGGCCTTCAGAACAACCTTTGATTCTTAAATCTTACAATCAGATGTCCATAGTCGTGGATTTTGAGTTTTGATGGGGTCGTAACATAACAACTATTGAAATCACAAGAAAGCCCTCCCTTCCTGAAAGATTACCCTGAGATGTGACATGTATTTTATATATATATATATATTCAAAGTGAAACTAAGAACGAACTTTCTTAGACAAAACCCACTTGCCGCCGATCCAATCGTGATGAACCCTGAGCTGAGAGAGAGGGTAAGCGATCTCCTGGTCTGTGGTGGCGAAATACACGAAATAGGCGTCGGGGCCATCTTTTCGAGTGATAACGCCGACCCACCAACCATCGTTGTCGAAAGCATCGACCTTCTGGTTAGTAGAAAACCTCCGAACAGGGATGGCGGGAGGCAGAGGACGAAGCTCCTTGGGGTACACAGTCTCAGTCAGAAATTGGAACTCGTTGTCTTCGAGCAAGGTCTTGTACTGGACGACGTAGAGGCCATTATCGAGCTGAGAAACCACCTTCGCTTCGTAGTACGATCCATGAAACCCGTCTTCCTTGACGGAGATTTCCACGCTCTGGCCTCTGCAAAAGTTGATCTTCTTGATTGGAGGACGCATGGTTTCTGGGGATTTGAGAACAAAGAGGGATGATCGAAACTGGGTACCAGAAGTTCTTGAAACGTGACTCGTGATTGAAAAAACGAGGAGAAGATGAAACTTATAGCGCGGAAGAAACAGGGGGTGGCCGTTTGGAAAGTTAATAAGTATGCGAAAATAGGCAAGTCATCAGATTTTTCAAATCAAACAATGATTTTTTTTGGACTGGATAATCAATTAATTATTCATTCTCAAATTTTTTTTCTCAAAAAAATCGATGGTTATATTCGGTGTACATTATTAAGTTTTAATGTTGATGGGATTTCCATTGCATGTTCATCTCATGACTCTCAGTTTTTTCCGTTAATTTAATTTTAGATTCCATCCCATCTTAAAAGGCGAATATGGAAAATTCTCCTTAGTTTGGATTTTTCAAATTAGATTTAACCTGGCACAAATACTTTATAGAGATTTGGATAAATATCTTTTTTTTCCTATTTATGAGTTATAATTCATAAGATGTATACTACTTTTTTAAAAAATATCATTGCCTGATTTTTAAAATGTTTTTCTTCAAAAAGGCCAACTTGTGATATAAGTTAATTCAACTTGGATGTCTTTTCTTTTCTTCTTAAGATCAACTCTCACCTCGAATCTGACTCATGTTTGCCCAGTTTCCTGTACATCAATTAGTATCAATATCAATATTTTTGCCAAATATATTAACATTAATTTTAACTCAATATAAAATATAAAACGTAATTATAAGAAATCGTAAATATTTTATATTGGTTTTTAAATTAAAACTTAGCATCTGTAAGTTTAATTATTGGCTACAATAGAGAATTGTGTATGCTTTATTTATCCAAAAATTCACTTATGATAAATTATTATAGGGTAAAAGGGCTAAATTACTCACTAACTGTTTTTTTTTTTTCAGAAATATCTAATATTCTTAAGTGAAAAGGTGCAAGAGTTTCTCTAAAGTTATTTTAAAGGGTGCAAGAATACTCAAACCATGAAAATTACCAAACGTCGTTTAATTTCAACTTGAAGCCCCACAATCCATGCCAGGTGCGTGCCACATCGACCACCTCCTTCCTCTCGCTCTCTGGTTAGTCTTCTCATGTTTCCGGTTTCCCCCTCTCCCCACTCAAAAAGTTCTAAGGCTGATGGTGATGCCATCATGGACGTGCAATCTGCCAGAGCCAATGTTGACGAGGACGACGACAATGTTGAATCTTGCAACTATGAGGGATCTGAGAATCACAATCGGGATCTGGGTGATTCTATCTTCTTCCTTTTTTGAGCCTTTAATCTTTATATGCTCGGTCATCTCCTATGTAATTCTATCTATCTTTATACCTTGTTCTGTTCAATTTCAGCCCTGATGCCAAGATACCCAACTGCTCCATCCATGACTAGGATCAAGAAACACAGAAAACGCCAGACCCCATTGCCATTTCTGCAAGGATTTCTCTGTTTTATGGTTTTATAGAGTGAGATTGGAGGAGAGTGAGAAAAGTGGGTGAAAGCTTCTTTTATCCACAGTGTAAACTTTAATTTGTCTTGTTTCTCTTTCTTCAGTATCATTGATTCCTTTGACTATTCATCAATGTACACTAGCTTATTGAGTAGTGATGTAATATTCTTCAAAACCATTGTTTTGCTTGCTACAACCTTCCGACATGTAATTATTTCACAGAATAAATAATGGAAGTTTGATGATACTTTAGAAACAGATTCTCACATTGTTGAAATAGTTGTAGTCAATTCAAATTAAGAAGTGAGAACATGTGTAAATTGCACAAAGGTAGGACAAGAGTGGGTGTACTCGGCAGAGTACAGTGGCAATTCGAGAATGGAGGAAGAGAGCAGTGAGGCATTTCAAGAAAGCCCAAAAAAAGGCTTTTGCGACGAAGGGAAGCACTAAAGGAGAAATGGTGAGAGGAATGAAGGATCTAGGAGGAGTGGTGATTGATTTGAGGGTTGGAGACAACGACTTGCTTAGATTCTTTTAGTCATCAGCAACAAAATTTCACCCATTTGCCTAAATCTTAGTTTAATAGTCAATGTTGGTTAATTTTCATGGTTTGGAGATGGGTGCGCACATTAAGGCTCTTTCATGGGTATTGGTGCGCCTTTCTTTATCTAAAAATATTGGGTACTCATTAAAAAAAAAAAAGCGTTAGTGAAGATTTTTGTCTATTTACCCATTATTATATCTGTTACATTCGAGCCCCTCAACAAAAAATTAGCACATGAAATTTTGTTACTTTCAAAAAATAAATATTTAAATTTTAAAATTAAGATTTTTCTATTAAAACCAAGGGAGAATGACAACTAAATCCTAAAGGAACTATTTAATCCTATTAAAGTCCCAAAAAATTCAAAAACACAAAGTAAGCCACAAGGTCCTTAGTTGGTATTATTACACAACATAAAAGACTCAAATACCATTAGTAATTATAATAATTTTTTTTCAAATATAAAAATTTGCAGCTTATCCTCCCATATTTACAACTTGATTTCTTAATTTTATATAGAAACACAATATTTTAACATTAAATTTTGAAATTGTTTGCCACCCATTTTCTCATGTTTGCAGATTTTATTTACAAACATATATCCCAACTCTTACAATGAAAACCCAAGCGGTACCACCTCCTCCTCCACCACCATTTCCATTACATTGCCTAAATGCTGGACTAATAACATGGGAAAGGTGAAGCCATCCTATTAAATGACCAAACTTTAGCAGCTGATTCTTCTCTCGATGTCTCGAACTTACTGTGACTTAACACACCTATTGCCTGACCCTCCTCTTATTCTTAACTTTAAAGCTCAGTGGCCTCCCCTCCTTCCCTTCAGTGACATTGTCAACATCAACCTCTACTCTCCTCGACTTCTCAACCACTCGATCTTGCCCTGGTTTACATCGCGTGCTACTTCCACTATCCTTCTCCTCCTTCTCTCAATCATCTCACTCTTGTTCTGCATCTCACAGGCATCAACCTTGCCAAATTCCATCTTAGGTGGCCTGTCGCCTATGGCTTCACCTTTCCCCTATTAGTCTAGTGTTTTGGATTATGTGAATGGAAATGGTGGAGAAAGACACAGTGGTACCACTTGATTTTCATTGCTAGAGTTGGGATATATGTTCATAAATAACTTCAAGATAGGGAGTTGCAAGTTTGATTAGATGGTCTTGCAAATTTGAGAAAATGAGTTGTGAACAATTTCAAAATTCAATGTTAAAATAATGTGTTTATAAAGAAAATTAGGAAATCAAGCTGCAAGTCAAGGAATGAAGTTGCAATTTTTGGAGGATAAGTTGCAAATTTATGTATTTGAAATATTCTAGTATAATTATCAAGGGTATTTGAATCTTTTCCAATGTATTATAATATCAGCTAAGGGACCTATGGGATTTATTTTGTATTTCAAATTTTGTTGGGACTTTTTTGGGATAAAATGGCCCCTTAGGACTTGGTTGTTATTGTCCCAAAACCAAATCAAAAGACGACAATTACTAATCTTGAGCGCTAATATTAACAAATAGGCTAAACTATATAATTCCTTTGTTAAACAATATAAAATATTTTTTAGAGAGTTGGATGTTAAAAAATATAAGGTATTTTTAATTTTTGAAGGTGTAATTATTATCTTTTTTTAAAAGTGTACATATTAATGAATGACTTTATATTTATTGTAAAATATTTAATAAGAGTAAATATAAAAAGATAGAGTTAGTTTGAAAGTATGTAACTACTTTATTGAGGGTTAGATTTAATTAAAAATATCTTACATTTTTGAATGGGGGGAGTATTTGGTTCTCTAACTTTATATAAAATTTTAATTTTGTTCTTTAATTTTATCTATCCTCCAATACTAATATCATTAGTTTTAAATGATTATTTTTTATACCAATCATTATTATTTTTAAAAAAGAGTAAAATACTTTGACCTCCCCTCTATTTTATTTTAATTACGAATACATCTCTTGTATTTTTGAAACTTATAGGAACCTCTCCAAGTATAAATAGTTACAAAATGCAAACAATTTTTTTTATTTTTAATGTTTTATTTTCATCTATCCAACTGTTAGTTGACTGTTAAGTTACATATATTGAATCAAAAAGCATCTTCTTTAAATATAAATGTTATTCAAAAATAATTTAAATACTGAAAAAATTCATTCATATATTTTTTTACTATTTATTTATGTTTTTTTATTTATATAAATATATATTTTAATAGTACTTTTCAAAATTTCAGTACATAAATTGGCTAAAATAATATTTTAAACACGCACTTAAAAAACTTAAGGAAATGATAGGATTTAATATAGTAAATTACTCAACATAATTTATATTTATTTTTTAATTTTTTAATTTAACACAAAACTTAAAATTGTTTATTGATGCCATTATTTAAATTTTTAAAATTGGGAGAGACAGTAGACAATTAATTTAAAATTGGCGGGGGAATCTTGTGAAATCTCTGATCATGCTCAAAACTGGAACATCACTTTATACATCCTTTTGCATGGCTATTAGAATGGGCTGAATTTTCAGAATGACTCATAATAATCACAATCAATTTTTTGTTGCTGAATAATCCCTCTTTCAAGTTAAATTAAATAGCAGTATGCCGAATGCTCTGTTTTCTTTTGTTTGACTGCTATATCTCTCCAGTCTCCACAAGACCATAGCAATCTCATCGTAAATTAATTCTTTCAAAATTCAAATCAAACATTTGAGCCACTCAACAGAAAAATTAACAAGTTAAATTTCCTAATTCCCAGAAATGAAAATCGAATAATCTTATCAGTAAGCAATACAGAGTCAAAAACAACAAAGACCACTGACTTGAAACACAAGAAATATATCCATCTAACGTGAACTGCCTCCAAAACACCGGGGAAATATCAGTATACAACTTAAGAAATCTAATCAGGAAAAAAAAAGGAAAAAAAAAATGAGCCAGAGAATCCAATCGAATCAACAACATCGAAATCTCTAGGGCAAAATCCAGTCGTCTCCACCAATCCACTCTTGATGAACCCTAAGCTCGCTGGAATGGAACTCAACGTCGCGGTCCACGGGAGGCCAGTAAACCAAATAGGAATCGGGATCGGAGTCTTTTCTTCCTGTGATGGTAGTGACCCACCAGCCGCGGTGTTCGTAAGCATCCACCACTTGGTTCAGAGAGAAACCAGTGGCTGAAACGTCAATGGTTGACGGCAGAGGGCGAAGATCCATAGGATAGACGGTTTCCGTGAGAAAGCAGTAATTTTCGTCGTCGTTTAACTTTGTGTGGTACTCGACGACGTATGAACCGTTGGCGAGGCGAGAGATTACGGTGGCTTCATAGTAAGAGCCGGGAGGCTTGTTGACGACTTCGACGACTTCACCTAGGGCGAAGCTGGCCACGGAAACTGTAGAAGGAGGCATCGACATTGAGGAACAACAAACGGGAGAGGTTCGGATTCCCATTGATACAGTGAGAGGAGGGTTTTGTGACTGAATTAGGAAAAGTTTGAGCTATTGATGAATGAATGAGAGAGAGATGAAACTAGGTATAGAAGAAACAGGGTACGGCCATTTATCAGCTCTTTAAGAAATAGGAAAGTACCTGGTAAAAAAGAGGAAGAATCAGAAGTTCCTGAACTGTGACTTGTGATTAAAAAAGATGAGCTGGTGAAACTCATAGTACGAAAGAAAGGAACCGGGGTGGTCGTGTAGGGAGTGAACATTTCTTTTCTTTTTTTTTTTAATGGTAGGGAGTGAACATTTGAAAATAGGAAAGTCGAAAGTAATCAGATTTTTCAAATCAAATACTCCCTCTTCTTCTTTTTATTACTCATCACACCCTATAAAATTTTCTTGATCTTTTATATAACTCATTTTTTTTGTAGTATTTAATGTAAAATTTTAAAATTACTCTCTAACAAATTCTAATAAAAGAAGGATAATAATTTAATTTTAAAAAAAATATTTTCACATGTCAAATCATTTTTTAAAAATTTAACGACAAATTAAAAAGTGATTTATTTTTAAGATAATTTTATTATTCTAACTAACTCGCTTTGATTTAGATGAGTTAGTTAGAAGTGACTAATAAAAAAATCAAGGGAGTAGGTGATGATTATTCATTATTAGTTTTTTAGAAAGTTAATATGTGAAAATAGGAAACTTATAGCACGAAAGAAAGAAACAGGGGGGAACATGATTTTTTTGGAAAGTTAATATGTGAAAATAGGAAGGTTATATTCGGTGTACATTATTAAAAGTTTTGGTGTTAATCTGATTTTGATTAGATGCTCATCCCATGACTCTCACCAATTCCCGGTAATTTAATTTTAGATTTCATACCATCTTAAAATGTGAATATGGAAACTTATCCCTAGTTTTGATTATTCAAATTAGATTTAACCTGGTTTAAATATTTCATATATAGATTTGGATAAATATATATATTTTTCTCTTTATGAGTTATAATTTTACAAGCCCTATATTTTTTTGGAAAAAAATGATCGCCTGATTTTTAACATGTTATTTTTCTTGATATCGGCTCATTCAACTCGGATTTTTTTTCGTCGGCTAAAAAACTCGGATTTTTTTCTTTTTTGAAATCAACTCTCTCCTTGCATCTAACTCATGTTTGCCTAGTTTGCCTATCAGTATTTTTTGCCAAATATATTAACAATAATTTTTACTCAATATAAGACTTATAAGAAACTGTTAATATTGAAACTGTAAATCTTTTACTTATTTTATGTTTATGAGTTATAATTTTACAATATCTATACTTTTTTTGAATACCAATGCATTATTTTTTTAAACAATTTTTTCTTCAAAGAAAAGGCCAACTTTGTGTGCGCCGTATAGGGTCCGCTCCACTTGGATTTTTGACTCGTGTTTTCCGGCCATATAGTTGCACGTGCTTCGATCAATGTGAATATCAATCAATGTTTATTCGATATAAAATGTTGAATTCATAAAAACCTTGTATTATTTATAAGTCTTTTATTACAAGTACAAATTGAACTAATATAAATATAAAATATAACAACTATAGTGAGTCATACTTTTTTATAAAACCAGAACTAATATATATCCTATCTCAAACTCTACGTAATGCATGAAAAATATAGCTAGTTATACATGAAGTAAAGTTTTATTCTTCTTAATTTTATAGATAAATTAAATTAAAAAATAACTAGTTAAAAAGAATAATTAATTATCCTCTTAATAGTTTTAATTTTAGACTTAAATTTGCTTATTTAGATTTTTACATTAGTTTTAGATTGAAAATTAATTAACATGTGTACATAGTTTAATTATTGAATAAAATGTTTGGATAAAAAAATCATGAGTAAAAAAAAAAGATTTGTGTATATAGGTTGTTCATTCCCCCAAAAAACCGAACTTGTGATAAATTATGTTTCATGGCTGAGCCCCTCAACAAAAAAAAAAAATACTTTCGAAAAATAAATATTTAACCTTTTCCATATTTTTAACTCAATAAATATGTAACTTTTAAAATTAAGTATTTTCAAAGGAATTAAAACCAAATCAAAGAACGACAATTACTAGCCAGGAATACTGATATTAAGCTATATATAGGTGAGTTCTAAGAATAAATTGCATTATTTATGACTTTGAATACAATATTAATATCGGTATTAATATCATTTTATTAAAAGGAAAGATCATTCAAAAAAATTATGCTGAAATTCTCTCAATCTAGTCATGATACAGGCCACGGGAAAAATCTTGTGAAATTTCTAATTATATATGCTCAAAACTGGAACATCAACTTACATCGCATCTTTTGCATGGCTAATAAAACTGCAAGCTAAGCATGCATGTATTTGGTTTCTCGTGGAAGCCTCTAGAATGGACTGAATTGTCAGAATGACACATAAGAATCACATTCAACCTTTTGTTGCTGGATAATGCTCCTTCAAGATTTCAAGATCCTTAGGGTTGATTAATCCTCTGGAATTGCATGTGCTTAACTAGGGACCGTAATTTTTCAAAAGCCGTTTGGAACAAGCCATCATCTTTTTCCTGTTAAGTTCTGGAATTGTTTCTTTTTTCTTTTTTTTAACCGATTACCTGTTAATTGATCGGTGGTTACTGGTTACGTCTCAATATTGTCAGTTCGGAAGTTATGGAGGAGAAATGATTTTGCTTTCCATTGAAGTTGGAAACAGATTCATAACTTCTTGAAATTCAACAGAAATTCATAACTTCTTCCAACTGCAACCCAAACGCCCAAAAATTTTAATCTCCAGAGAAAGAGAGTCAGATGACGAATCGAATCAAATCAAGACTTGAAATCTCTAGGCCAAAACCCATCTTCCACCAATCCAATCTTGATGAACCCTAAGCTCAGAAGACTGGAACTCGATATCACGGTACACGACATCACGGTAAACATAATGTTAATTATCGAAGCCTGATCTTCTTCCGGTGATGGTAGTGACCCACCAGCCGTCATTATCGTAAGCGTCCGCCGTTTGGTTCAGAGAAAAGCCGGCGGGTGAAACGGTGACGGGCGGCGGCACTGGACGGAGGTCGGTAGGGTAAACCGATTGTGTGAGGAAAAACTGTAATTCTCGTCATCTACGAGTACTGCGTTGTACTTGACGACGTAGGAGCCGTCTGCGACAATAGACTCTACGGTGGCTTCATAGTAAGAACCTGGAAGCTTGTTGACGACTTCGACGGCTTGGCCGATGGAGCAGTTGTGAGTTCTGATGGAAGCTGCGAATGGGGAAGAAGGAGGAGAAAGATAGGCGATTCCCATTGATGCAGAGAGTGTACTGAAGGCTATTGAGCACTGAGCAAGACTCTATGAGAAAATCACATTAGAGGATTAAAGATTGAATTATTTAATAATGAGGACTTAAAAACTAGGAAATCTAAAATAAGTATCCAAAGGATAATATGAGATGAGACAATCACCAAAAATGATAATATGTTTGACAAATTTTCTCATTAAAAATTAATAAATTTCACTTGTAAATTTTTGTTTTTGGTAGTTGTAATGAGAGTAGCAAATGCTTGTGCCAATTTACTAAAGGAATCTTTTGTCTTTGTTTCAGATTTCCAATTATTTTGGTCCTTGTAGAAGTTTAATTATATCTTTTGATCCTTTAATGTCATTGCCCCTTTGTATATTGTTTTACTCTCTTTTTTTGTGAATTATATATTGTTTTACATTAATTATTGCGCGCTATTTTTCTATTTGAGTGATTTTCTAAGAATTTGTTGAATTTATGAATGTTTATATTTGTAATGATATATTTAGCGCGAATGATGAACATTGAAGTCAAAGAAATTAAATACAATGTATTGAATTTGTCAACAAAAAAAAAAGAGCTATGTTAAAATTTTAAATTATAAAAGTATGCTATTAAAAGTAATTGAAAAGTTAGCTTCAAGGATATATATCCCGCGCTGCATATATAATGATCAGCGATTCAATGAATTTGAGAAAAAACAAACAAACAAACAAATAAAGCCTGTCGTTCAAGGGACCATTTTGGGTGCTCATCACCCTCATGGGCACCGTGGTATTTATCAAGGTGTTGCAATTTGAATCATTTAGATTTTTAATTGGAATGGTTCAGATTTAAAAAAATAATTTAATATTTTTATTTTATATTTTTTAAAAAATAAAAATTTATAAAAATTATAAAAAAGCTCTAATGAATATTTTTTTGACTAATATAATCTATATTTAATTTAGAAGATCTAATTTAATACTAAAACTTTTATATTTTTATATATTGACTATCCAGATGTATTCTATACAGTTCAGGTTTAAAATTTTTAATTTATAATTTTTTTAAAAAATTATAATTAAAAGATTATATATTTTATTTTTTAATATTGTATTCATCAAAATAAAAAATAAAAATTTAAATTTGGATCTTACAAATAAACATTTAATATCAAATATGGACTATTCAGAGTACATGTAGATAGTCAATTTAAAAAATTATAATATTAAATTAGACTACCTAAATTAAATTAGTACTCTTTAGATTGATGATGAATCTATTTATAAAAAAATTATAAATTTTTATTTTGATAAATTTAAATTTAAATTAATAATTAACAAAATCTGGCCATCCAAATTAAATCTGGAAGGCCCAAATTTTATTTGATGAATGAGCACCTTACTGAGCACCGAACACGAACCCCTCGTTCAATCACTTAAATCACGTTAACTATTTAAGTCATGCCATTGCCATTTTGTTCAATTAGTGATTAAATGTATTAAAATATTTCGATTGATAAGTGTGAATCAAATAGTTGTTGGCAAAAAAAAAATCAAATAATAGTTATGGGATTTTCTTTTAAAAAATGGATAGTGAACATTCTAGGCTCTAAATTACTGTGAAAATATAGCATCTTTAATCTTAAGCTCTTAAAATGGGTAAAAACTCCCTCAAAACCCCACCTTTAAATTAGAAAAAATGGCTATTGTTTTTAAAAATTAAAATCAATGCCACGTCAACTTACGACTAAGACTTACAACTATAAGCGTAACTTTATTTTCTCCAACTTAACGGTGAGGTTTCACATGCTCAAAATTTAAAAGTTAAAAGAAATTTTTACATATTCCAAAAATTTAAGGTCCAGACTACTATTTGCATAGTAGCTTATGATTTAAAATGCTTAATAACCCTTAAAAAATTATGAGATTGCCTAGCTCAATATATCTCTAAATTCTGTGTTGAAATAGAAATATCTCATTACATTTTTCATCGATTCCATGAAAAACAAAAAGAATAATAGATTACTAAATATGATTACCAGGAAAAAAAAATAGATTACTAAATATCTCTTACTGGTAGTAAAATACATATAATGCACTTTTCGAATAAGATTACAAAGTATATCGAGTCACTCTCTTCTTACTGGCATAAATTTACTATAAATTTAAAGGAATTTTACAAATTTTAAATAAAAAAGTGCAATATATAAATAAGGGATTTAAGTCAGATTCTGATTAATAAGTTTGAACAGCCGTCATTTATTTTATTAAATTATTTTTCAGATTTTATTCTGAATCAATCGTATTGTGGTTTGTAAATTGCATCATTTGCGTGTAATTCATAACTATCGTTTTAGATCCATGTCTTTTAAAAATGAATTCGAAGAATTGACCTTACCCTTGTGGCCCTGCTGATTCAAATGAATTGCAAAAATATACTGATAAAACATCGACTGATCTTATTAAAAAAAAAAATCCGTTCCTTATAAAAATTAAAATAAAAAAAGGAAAAATTCCGTCCTTAATTTGGATACAACAAACTAAAATTAGACTGCTTATATTTCAGTCTAGTTATTTTGATACATTTTATATTTTAAAATTCTAATTAATAGACTTAATTATAATAATAATATTCTAAAATTCATCTATTAAAAAATACTCAATAAAACGAATTGTGCGGTCAGACAAATTGGTTGATTGGGTTTTCTTTCTTGCCTTCGTGTTAATTGGGTATTTATTGTCTGGTGTGCAGATGAATCAGGATTAGACGGTGGGCCAAAAAGAAATCAGGAATCAAGATTAATTTTTTTAATTAAACGCTTAAAATTAAATTTTTGAAAATAAAAGTCCAAATCTATAATTTCTATTCTGTTTTAAAATATAAGTCCTGTTTTGGGGTATTAGTTTTCTTTTTCAAAATTATTTTTGTTTGAAATTAAATGTGAGAGTTAATTTATATAAAAAAAAGTTATGAAAAATATATTCCACCATCAGTGGTTGATCCTAATAGAATGGGCAATGACCACTTAAATATGAAATCTCAAGTTTAAATTTTTTAAAAAAAAACTATCATCAATTAGATTTGATAATAAAATCATATAAGAAAACGGAGAAATATATTCTATTATAATTAATGTTATCTAAGAATTTAATTTAGTATTTTTTACCGATTAAATAAGTTCACCTATTTTCAACTCCCCTTGTTGTCTTTGTGAAGTTTATGGCAAATATGACTTATATTAGACTTGAGTGAATAGCGATGATTTGGAAGGCCTACGATGTACCCAACATGAATATGATACGATCTTGTCTCTTGTTTTTAATAAACAGTTAAAAGAGATTTCTACAAGTGTTTTATTTTTTCTATATCTAAGAATTATTTAAATATAGAGTTGGGAAAATAGGTTTGACCTAATAAGTTGACCCCACAACCCACACAAAAAAAAAAGGGTTGACTTGCAAAAAAACATGACCAATCTTGAAGCAGGCATATATTAGCTTACATGACTCCATGAGTTGACCTTGTTAAAAATAAAATTTAAATTCCGTTTATTTATACATTATAAACAGCTAATAACTAATAATGAACTATGGCATTTTTTTTTTGGGCCGTGGATTTGTATCAATTTATTAAAGTTCGTAGATTTGAACATGTCCCACTATTTAGAGGACATTTTATTTTTACATCATGAGGCGAAATTAGATAGCAAAAATGGGTTAGAGTCTGAGCATGAAGGGTGGGCAAACACAACCAACCATCATTTCCATATTCTAAAACATTTTTCATAAAAAGGCCAAGGCCCGACTTGAATATCCTACGCATGGTCTTAAGCCCAGTACCATCTACATCCATCAAAAACCAAATTTTGGCCATTAATCAATACAAACATACACTTAATTTAATACTCTATAAATTAAAAAATGTAAAGTATTTTTTAAAAAGTTAAATATTTAAAAATGTAAAATATTTTTAGTATTTTAAGGTATAATTATTGTCTTTTTTTTAAGTGTCCCCGTTGATAATGACTTTATATTTATTGTAGGGTGTTTAATAAGGATAAATAAGAAAAGATAGGGTCAGTTAAAAAATAAATAATTACTTTATTAAAAAAATAAATTTTAGTTAAAAATATTTTAATTTTTTAATAACGAGAGTATCATATATAACATTTAATAGGAGTAGTACTACTTAGAAGCCACAACTTTCATCAGTATCTAGTCATCAGACAACGTGTCAATATAAATACCAAATATTATTCATAAATTATTATTAGCACGTACGCCTTATATCAAATTCCTTAGAATAGATATAAATAAAGAAATATACATACATACATATATAATATTTAAATTTAAATTTTCTGAGGTTAGGACGACTGAATTTTGATGAAGTTTTCCCCTTTTTTTTTAATGTTTTCACTCATTTCATTATCTGTTATAAAATATAGAATATTCTCTTTCTTAAAAAAGGAAGATTTGACCCAAAAAAATCCTAAAAAAAAACTTTATAAAAATTCACCAATCCCAATTTCTAAGAATTTAAATCCATATATATATGTGCATGTGTATAATTATTTGGTAAGTTTAATAATTATTTATATACAATTATTGTCAGATAATAAAGTCTTGATCTCAAAAAAATAAAATAAATAATCTTAAAAAAATGTAACCTCTAGGGCAAAACCCAACGTTCACCGATCCAGTCTTGATGAACCCTAAGCTGAGAAGAATGAACCACAATGTCACTGTCCCCGGTGACACAGCGAACATAATAGTAATTCGAGTCTCTTCTCCCGATAACAGTGGTAACCCACCAGCCCTCGTTTTCGTATGCATCCACCTTTTGGTTTAGAGAAAAACCGGCGGCTGAAACAACGAGAGGTGGTGGCTGAGGACGAAGGTCGTTAGGGTAAACGGTTTCTGTGAAGAAACGGTTATCGTGGTTGTCTTCCTCGTCGTCGTCATTTAGTGAGTTGTACTCGACGACGTAGCAGCCATTGGGGAGGCGAGAGATTACGGTGGCTTCAAAGTAAGAAAGGGGAGAATTGTTGATGACTTCAACGGTCTGGCCAATAGAGAAACCGTTGGCTCTGGTGAGAGACATGGATGGAGATGAAGAAGGAGAAAAGTGAGCGATTCCCATTGATACAGAGATACGAAGATGGTTCGAGTGATTAAATATTATTATGTATTGTTTTGCTTATTATTAATATGCCTAAATTGAAATAAACTAGGCCTATTTCAATCGAGAAATATATCAGATAAGACATATCTAATTTTATAATGAGATTTTTCTCCTGATTTGCACGGAGGACAATAAGTTTGCGATGATTTGTAATATTTTTGGCCGGTGATCATATGAGGTTGAGGATTGATTTAGATAGAATTGAAACGGTGTAACGTAGCTTTTATTTCTTAAAAAAAATCATGATTTATTTTTAGAAAGCTATCTACTTATCTTTATTTATTTTATATCATTCTCATTCAGGGAAGATTCAAATTTAACTGATATAAATTTTAATCCGATATTGCCTTTGGTGAGATTAATTGATGTGTATAGCAAAATTAAATCTGAAAAGAAAGGCGTTCAAATCCACCATAAATAATAAAAAACCCAAATTATTATTAATTTATTGGAGTGTGTGTGTGTGTGTCTCAACGGAATAATTTTAAATTTTATTTATGTAGGCTGAATATAGTTTCTTCAAAATAGGTTGTTTTTTTTAAACCCAAGTCAATCAATTTGTTTAAATAAAAGAAAAAATGATAATAAAATTTTTTTAAATCATGTAAATGACATTTTAAAGATTAAAATGTCATAATTCCCTTAAAATGTTTAGGGACTTTTTTGTTATTAAGAAATTAAGGTAAATGATTGAATTGTCATTAATTTAAACTTATAAATTATTGTTGAATTTTTATAATTTAAATAATTATAAATTTTAAAATAAAATTTATGAATAGCAATTGATATCTACAATATTTAAGAAATATTAGAATTTCAGATGCGAACTTGTAATTGTTATTAAATTTTTATAATTTTAAGAAAAAAATTATAAATTTTATAATAAAATTTATATATGATAATTGTTATTTGAATTCTTATAGTATTTATTATATTTTTATCCTATATATATATATATATATATATATTCCCCCCAACTTTTTCCCAATATACTGACTAAAGCAGTGCTTATTGGAAGGGGCCAAAAAAAAGGAACACAACAAAAATTTGGCGCCTTTGAAGAGTCGCCGTCAGAAATAAATATGGATAATGGAGAAACAACGTCTTTCCATGAAATTGATCTACACCGTTTGTATAATCCAGCGGTTAAAAATGGCGAAAGGACCAGCTTTTCCCCCAACTTTACCAGCAGCCAACAAGAGCAAGACAGAAACGAGTTGGACGGGATCCATTCCAATGCAACTTTTTTTGCCGCCATTTTTTTTTTTTAAGTTCAACTGAGTTGGGTCTCACTAGATCATCAAAACTATAAGATATACAGTATCAAAGTTTTTATATTAGCAGTGAAATTAAATTTTATAATTTTATAAGTTATGAAATAAATTCCTACTAACTAGATCAATCTTTATTAATATTTTTCTACAAATCTACTAACAATGAATGGAATAGTTAGAAGTCAGATTTTTTTTTTAGAAAATGACAATTAAGACTCTTATAAAAATGTTAATAATATGGGTGTTCAGTTTGTACCCGTCTCGATCATATAAGGATGAGTCTCTTTTTAGCCCAAAAAGAATTGGGACAGGATTTTATGAAATGGGACAGAAAATAGATTTAGGATGGGACGAGACACGGGATTATTATTCGAACTTTCCGTCTTAATATAATATATACTTATATTAATTATAATTTTAATATTTGTAATTCTTATTTAAAATTAATATTTTTATATTGATAATTTTAATGACATAGAGTAAATATAGCGATATATTTCTTTATAATATATTAATTATATTAATATAATTTATTCTTAATTTTATCTATTTAATAACTTTTATTTATATCGTATTTCTTGTTTTATTTTTGAAAAAGTAATTAACTTAGTACATCTCAATTAAAGTAAGAAGAATAATGATTTGATATTGTACTTAACTTACCTGTTGTTGCTACTCCTACAGGCTAGCGATCACTTATAATTGGTATTATAATGTATAATTGTGATTAATGTAATTCAATCATTGACTTTAAATTATTGTAATTTATATACTTATGTTGTTTTAATTTTAAACTTAATAAATTATATAATTTAAAATTTTAATGAATGTTATTATTTAGACCTTTCTCTAACATTTTTCGATTTATAGGGACGGAGGGACATCCCAATCTTGTCCTAGCCCTATCTCTATTCCTAACGGGATGAGACGACTTTTGTGATGAGACATGAGATAAAAATTTAATTTCAATCTTTTTGTTTCGACATAAGATATGGGACAGGGGTGTCCCACCAATCTCATCCAGTCCTGTACGCATCCCTAGTTAATAATAATTATAGACTCTGAACTATTAAGATCTCAACAACAAACTATAATCATCCTTTGCAATTAAAAGATGCAACTATTCAATTGAGAAATCTATTAAATAAAATTATGAATATTTATAGCATCAATAGAAAATTTATGAGAGTTAGTTGTGAATTTTAAATTTTTTATTGTTAATATATAGACAAAACATTTAAGAAATTGAATAAATACACTTGAAATTATTTGTAATGTTACTTTAAAATTTACAAGAATTAGTTGTGAATTACAAATCAATCACTCATATTTTTTTTACTATTATATTAATATATAAATAAATTGCTTAAACAAATCCATTGAATATACTTTGAATTATTTGTAACATCTCGATTGTAAATCACAAGCTAATCATTTATAATTTTTTATTATTACTTAAAAAATTTATTAAAAGTAAAGATCATGATTTATTATTGAAATCTTTATAATTCAGCAACAGTAATTGTCATGGATCCTTGATTGTCAATTTCTCTCCTTCTCTTGTTAGCTTGGGAACTAGGAACTTGGGAGATTATAAAAATCACTACTGAATCACTGAGCATTGCGTGACCCCTGTTCCAAGTGGATTGAATTTCCTTGCTCATCCTCATCCATAGAATGAGATTTAGACCATTCAGATGAAAAATTTAAATGGTCTAAAATTAATGTATTATTATAATATTATATATTATATATATTAAAATAAAAATATATAAATATTATAAAATAATTTAAATAAATTTTTTATTTTTAATATAGTCTAGATTTAATTTAAAGGGTCTTATTTAATATTAAAATTTTTATAATTAATATAAATTAATTATTCAGATTTATTCTGTACAATTCAGGATTATGCAGATTGTAGAGTGTATCTGAATAATCAATATACATTATTTATAAAAAATTTAATATTAAATTAGAGCCGTTAAATTAAATCTATGCCAAACTAAAAGTAAAAGACTTATTCAAATTATTTTATAATTTTTATAAATTCTTATTTTAATAAATATAATATATAATAATATATTAAATATGGATTATTCATATTAAAATTTGAATGATTCAGTGCTCATCCTTGATATGAGCATGGAAACTGGTCCTGTTCCACATAGGCCCAATTCAAACTAATTAAGAGCCCAAGAGACATTATTCCTAAAGCTCTTAAGTGGTTATTTCTGCGGATCAAACCCATGGCTTGGTGGTCACAGAGCCATGTTGGCTTCACTTTGCAAGTCATGATTCGATTCTGCATTCTACGCTGAGAGCTGATAAAGTGGTTATTTTCGGACTTACAATAAATGCAGGACCATAGGGGAATCCAGCCTATTTTATTCGAGTCGGTTCAAGTAAACTTATTCAATGATTAGGACAAATAGCCTTGATATGGAATTTCGACGTGGAGAAGCTCATAAGCTATGCAACTTATATTCACCTTACAAGTCTACGGATCTCTGACAATGAAAACTATACAAACTTGCTATTAAAACTCAAGACACAAATACGTATAAACTCATAAATAATAGTGAATCATAAATAACAAACAAGCGTTAACTTGAAAGAAGCTACTCAATATCCTCAAATTCATCAAGCTTGGCCTTTAAATTTTTTGGTCAAGCTTGAGTTCTCACTAATGCGTGCGCAATACTATAATTTGTAACAGTTAAATTTACTTTTTCATAATACTACCATATTAAATGTAGTAGTAATAAGTGTATTAATAATAGGTAATTTCTATATTTACTCCCAAGGTTTTTGTGACTTATTATTAACAAAAAGAGAGAGATCTATCGGTATTTATTTATTTTTACGTTCGACTTATGATTAATTTTTTCCTTATATTTTCTTATTGGATGTTAACTTTTTAATTTGGGGCCAAAACTGGACTCTCACGTCATTAGTGGTGTGTTTGATTATGATAACGAAAAACGGAAAAAGTCGTCGAAGCGTTGAATGATTAACATGATCCGCTTATGTCGCTCCCATGTGCTCTGCCTCGAAATACTCAACTCTACCGTTTTCTTTATTAAGAAGGGAGTAGCAAGTGCATAACTGTTAACTGATTACTCTTTAGATGGCCAAAGAAAACTTCAAAATTCAATTTTAAAAAATAAGAACTTATATGCTTATGTAAAATATTTAATGTTTTTGAAATATAATTTTTCTAATATTTTATTTAAACTACATTTTTCCATGATGGTTAAAAAAAAATCCCATGCTTTTTTGCCACTACAAAATTCATGCTCATGTCATGTTTGGACTTTGCAGTAGATATAATTTCTACATCGTCGGTAGTATATTATTCTTATAAAGTTCAGGTCAAAAAAAAATATTATTCTTATAAAGGAAAAATTAGAGAGCAAAATGCTAAACACAACACATCATGTATGGCAAATCACACCGTTATCTAGTTGGTAATTTGAGCCAAATTTAAATAATTAAATTTGAAAAAATGTATAGTCAAGTTTAACAAAATATTCTCTTCGGTCCTTATCATAGAACACTTTTTATTGCTTCATGCGTCTTAAGGAAAGTTTGTTTTTTCTTGATATTATAAAAAAATGAGATGTACTTTTATTTTTACCCTTGATTTTAAATAATAATATAACTACATTAAATATATTTACACTAATCAAAAGGAGGTAAAATTGAAAAAAGTGATTTAATTATTACAAGGCGTCCCATATTTTTGGACCAAAAATTATTTTTAAAAAATATCTTATAAATAGGATCAAATAGAGTAATGTTTTTTAAGTATTCGGCCCATATATATATCCAAAAAAATTTGTGCCAAGCTCAAAAAATGTAATAAGTATCTCTTAAATTTAATATACTTTCTCTTTTCTTATATATAAGATATTTTTAATAAATCACATGAATCAACAGCAATTGGTTATCTACTTAAAAGCATAACAATATTTTAATTTTTCCTTTATTTATTGTAAATAAAAAATAAATATTTTTTCAAAGTAAATTTATGAATACTTTTCTTGTTCTCTTTCCAATATAATAAGAGGTATAACGGTCTATTTATTAAAAAATATACTAAAACCTTCTTACATATAGAGATAAAGCTAGTAATATATAAGGATGTGGCCAATGAACTCCCTTCATCCTTATAGAAAGATTATGTTCAATTTATGAAAAAATTATTCATAAATAAGTTTTGTAAAATTTAAAAATTATAATCAAATTCATTGAGACTTGAATGTAATTTATAGTTGGAGCACAAAGACAATATTAAAATACATCAAATTATATTTGGAAAAAAAATGTACTTGTATTTATAAAATACAAAATATAACTCATGAATTAAAATTTTTTATTTATAAACTGTAAAGTTGTAATTGTAAGTCAAGAGTAAATATGCCTTCAATATATTATTTATAAAATATGAAATATGATTTATGAATTAAAATTTTTTATTTATAAATTATGAAATTATAATTGTAAGTCAAGAGTAACTATGACTTCAATATATTATTTATAAAACATAAAATATGACTTATGAATTAAAAATTTTTATTTATAAGTCACAATTTAAGTGAAGGATGAATACAAACATGACTTTAGTGTATTGGGGTTTTTTTTTTCCGTAAGTAGAAGCATAAAGATCTTTTCACCTAAAATTTCAGTTACACTTAAATTTCAAGAAATCTAGTTATATTTTTAAAAATTTAGAAACCTATTTATAGATAAGTTCTTTATACGTGATATATACGTAATTTTAATTTATTCTACCAGTTTGATCAGAGACAGAGTCAATTAACTTGGGAATAGCTTGCCCGAGACTTGTTTGCTTATAATTGATTGGGCGTTTTGCCCCGCTGTTCACCAAAAAGAAAAAGAAGAAAAGAGACACAAAGTCAAAAGCCACGTATATAATTAATTACAATTAGTGCTTAATTAATAAATTATGAAGTGAATATATACGAGTACAACAAAGCGAGATATTACACGTACTAATTATGGTCTCTGATCCATGAACAAAGGCATAGGCTGGACCCCTTTGCTTCAAATCTCAATATATTTCCCTTCAAACTAATAAAAGTCGGTGAAGTCAAGCCCGTATTCAATTCAATCTTCACATGTCCCTCTTACGCTAATTAATTCATTATTCAAAATAAGAACAATAAAAACACACATTCCAAGAACAAGCCCCCTCTTCTATATAAGCCGAGGCTAACCCACCTCCTCTTCGCAACCCAAAACGCTCAAATCTTCTCCGCAACAACTTCTCACGAATCAATACCACCAAAATCATGACGGTACACTGATTCTTGATTTCATTTGTTTCTATATTATATGCAGAGACATTTTTCTTCGTATGTATGTATTTGCACGAGGAATTCTGATATGCATATGACGAAACTCGTTTATTTTCTTTCATCAAGATCATAGAGATGAGAGTACACATGGATTGTGCTGGATGTGAAAGCAAGGTCAAGAGTGCACTTCAAAAGCTCAAAGGTATATAATCCTTGGAATGGATCGTCTGAGAGAGAAAATCCGTGAAGTTTCTAGAGTTTATTTTTTCAGGTGTGGATGACGTGGACGTGGACATGAGTTTACAAAAGGTGACGGTGACGGGGTGGGCGGATCAGAAGAAAGTTCTGAAGGCGGTGAGGAAGACGGGGCGGAGGGCGGAAGTGTGGCAGCTGCCGTACACGACGGCGTTTCAAGAGGGGCAGTACTATCAGCAGCACCATTGTAATGGACCAGTGACATTGTATGCGTCTCAGCCAAGCTCATCCTACAACTACTACAAGCATGGTTATGACAGCGACGATCCTCGTCACTATTACTATCCCTCTTATTCTTCTGTCATTGGCCATCAAGCTGGCTCTGCCTTCAGTGATGACAACCCTCATGCTTGCTCCATTATGTGATGTATATAATCACTTATCTTATAATTAAGACATATTTGCAGAGTTTCCAAAATAAAAAACCCGGGTTGATTAATTAAGAACTTTAGAATAATGAATTCTAACGGACCCTTACGTTCATGTTGAGGAATACAGATCAAATCTGATTAACGTTGCTTATACGAGAAATCGATCTTTGTACGTAGACCTTCAGTTTCTGTATATGTGGTATTTGTGGTTTGGTTCATGTATGTACGACCTCTATTTTTTGTTCGTACTGCTATGTAGTCAAGGTCTTTGCAATTGATTGCAAACCAAAGTGAATTGTTGTTTTAATTAGTGTGACTTTTTGTTGGGTCAATTTTAAAATTCCCCATAATTCTGTTAAAGATGACTCTTAATAAAGGTTTGATGGAGCAAAATACACCAAAATATAGGATGTTAGTTCATTAATGTGCTCATAATCAATCAATCAATCAATCATGCTTTTGAGTATGTGAGTTTTCTTTTGAGCCATATGATTAATTTAATTTAATTTAATTTTCCAAGAATATTACTGGGTCTACAAAAATATCTATTTTTCTGGTGTTTTTTTTGGGGCCAATATTTTTCTCGTCTTGTTAAAAAGACATATAAAATATAAAAGCCATTTTAAATATACGAGAGTCCAGTAGGCCCATTACGATAAGCCCAATTTGTAAATTGAGGCCCACAAGGGGAATCCCACTACAGTCCGAAGCTCAACTGGACCCCACACACCCGCTCCCAACCTGGCAATAATTGGCTGGTGTGCAGTTTTCTTCATGATGATTTATTGATTTCTTTTTTTCTTTTTCTTTTTTTTTGGTTGGAGCAACTTCTTAATGATTTCAAAGCGAGGACTGATGAGCTTTTTCATAGTTATTGATATCACTCTCCCTCTACATCTACGCCATAATGTTGCCTCTTTCTAAACCCTAATAATAATAAGGATGAATCGATGATGGTGGCGTTCCTATTTTATAAATACTACTCATATGATTGTACAAGTAAAGTGAGATTGAGACTTTGCTCTGAGTCCAAATGTAAAATTTTACTTTGTAATTTTTCATATTTATTATTTGTTAATTAAACTTGTTGATTGGATAATGCAAGAATGCTAATTTTAGCAAGAGTTTATTGACTCAATAGCAACATACATCCTCATTAAAGACGGTAGCAATGAATTCTTTATCCTGCATAGCGAAAGGGAGGGCGTGTTGTGAGTATAGTGAGTGTGTGTTGTTACTCTTTTCTTTAGCGGGTCACCATTTGCTCGAGAAGAAGGGATAAGTATATGTGTGTGCGTCCATTTAAAAAAAAAAAAGATTTTAATATAAAAAATCTTTTAAAAAGGATGTTTTAGAGGGACAGTTGTGTATATCTTTTCCACAAACAACTAATTTGATTCATTTTTTAATCTATATGAATTTGTTAATTGGTTCTTATATTTAGGATTATAATTATTCGTAGAGATGCACGTTTTTCCCTTCATTTTTATCATTTGCTCCTCTTGTTTAGCAAACCATGTTTGAGGTATTAATTTTTTAGTTAAAGGGTAAACTTTTTTTGGAACTTTTTCATTATATATGCCTAATATTTTAATTTTTTTAGAACAATTTTATCATAAAACTTTCAAAAGGATTAGAAAATTGCCTTGCGTTGATTGTCAATTTAACTTTAATCATCAAGTTGGTAGCCACTTAACATTTTTAAAAAACTAAAACAAGAACACATTCATGTGTTCTCTAAGGCACTATCTTTATTACAATCTTTCTCTTTCTATATGCAGATGCAAGAACTAGCATTATCACTTGGATTCACTTTTATTAGTATATTCTCATGCATGAATCTAGAAAAGAATATATGAGAGGGTAGAAATGAAAAATGCTTAAAATATAGGGAGCTAACATTAATTTTCACTTTGTTTACAAGTAAAATAAAAAAAATTTTAAAATTTTTTCAAGGGCCAATCAAATTGGGGGAGGGGGAAGCACCCCCCTTGCCCCTCTTACATTTGTCCTCACATCTTCTTCTTCCTAGACTTTATCAGCATCATTACCCTTAACCTCTTCAATCCTCCACCGTTGATGTTGCCTCCTCCTCTGCCATTATTAGTCCCATTACTTGTCGTTGGTGTGACAATAGTCAATAATCTCAAATTGATCTCAATCTCAAAATAATCACAAATCTTGCAATCCTCTAGCAAACGAGGGCCGTGCAATTCATTACTCAACGAAAGAATTACTAGCCTATCCTTGGCTAAAATGGCCCTAATTTCTTGAATTATTTCTTTCAATTTTAAGATAGTATTGTTTGCATCCATTTCTTTCAACTTTAGAAGTTGCTTTGGAGTACAATCTATGTGATTTCTATTAACAAGTGCTTTAAAAAAACACAAACAACTTCTACTTGCTTATCTGGTATCAATACTTGTATCAAGCATACAAGTGAGCATAGTGGTGGCCATAAATTGTAAACAAGCATATGAAATTGTTTAGGTTTTAATGTTTTAATATTGCCTTCACTTGTTTCAACCAACTTCGCTTGGCTATCCTGCTTGAAAAAAATATATTTTATGTCGACTTTATATTTTGCTTGTAGATTGTTGCTTTTTGGCGGCTGCAAGAGTGTCTAAGATTAGGTCTTGCAAGCTTGTGGCAGTCAAGCTGTAGTAATCAACATGGTGATGTGGAGGAAGATAAAAGTAGCAATGAACTTGGTGATCTCAACAATATATAAAGATCATGAGGTGAGCTTAGATGGCTCAAATAGAGATGCTAGTAACTCTTGATAAACTTTCCTAATCTTTTTTGTCCCTTAGTGCTAGGTGGCTACCATTTGACAAATATAGTCAATCTAATCATCAATAAGATAACTCTGTACTATTTTTAAATGTCTTAGAGTGAAATTATTTTAAAAAAGGTTTAAAATATTAGGCACCTCTAACAAAAATGCTTGATAGTATTTTTACTCTATAACCTTTATTTTTTAAAAAAATAGAATTTAAAATGAAAGATAAATAATGCCTGCATAAGAATTCAAAATTTTTAGATTAAAAAAAAAAGAAACCAGCATATTTGTTGCAATGGGACATTCGATACTTCAATACATCCCTGGCTTTATGAATTTAAATGTTCTAGTCTTAGACTAAATTTCAAAAAAATAAAAAATGATTAAAAAACTTAGCTTTTAGACATTAGTCTTTTCTTTTTATCATACACATGTCCTCTTATTAAAAATAATTATATTTAAAATATTAGCTAGCTACATTAAAGTAAAGGCGCGCAAATATACCTTTTTACTTTAAAAAAAAATTCACCTACACCCTCGATTAAAAAAAAATATTTAGGTTTAAAATTCTATCAAATATATAATATTTTAATAATTAAAATAAGATATAAAAAGCATATTTTAATGTTTATATAAAAAAAATATCAACCTGTTCAATATATTTTTTAAAAACAATAATTAATTTATTTATGATATTATAATTTAAGTCTTAATATAATTATTAAATTAATATTATCTTACATTCTCTAATTTAGGGTCTTAATTCTGCCATTACAAGATATGATTAGGTATTGAATATGAAGATATTTTTCAATGGTAAATCATGACCCTTTGCAAAGTTAATTACCCATAAACATTTTGACTACTTAAAATTCTAACTTGTAGGTTCATATATAATCTTTTTTCACCCAAGAAAGCAAGCGCAAAAATATAAATCCCGTGGAAACCTTAGGTAAGTGCAGATTTAAGAGGACTCAACTAATTCTGGCTCATTTTTACTTTATAAGCAGAGTTATTAATTAGTAATTTAGGAATTTCTTTATTATCCCACATGAAATTGAAAGAATGAATATCCTCATCCATTGATTAAAGAAAAGATTTGAATCGTGGACTAAAACATATCCAGTGAATAAAATTTGATGCTTGTATTTTCTTGGCCAACTTGATGCTTATGTTTGAAGGAACCAAATTATTTTATTTTTAGGATTAATCCAAAAAACATAAAAAGAAACAAAAGTCAAGCCAAGCACAGCACGTGACGACGCTATCGAAGGTATCGGGTGCGGCGACGATACCAGCCCCGTTCTTGTCGACCCTGTAGAAGAATCCTATTCCTATTGGCCAAAGGGGGGTAACGTGGCACGTTTCAATTCGTTTTACCTTCATATTTATTTGTTGGGAAAAGTACACCTAAATCCCACACAAAGCAACTTATCACCAAGAGGTCATATAAAATTAACTTGAATATTCTTAAATTTTAAATTTTACACATTTATAACTTAACTGAAAATATTAACAAGTTTATAAATAATCATTATCTAATTATTAATACCCTTAATTAAATTATAAATGCATAAGATTTAAAATTTAAAAGTATTTTATGAATTTCATGAGACCTCTTGATAATTTAATTAAAATTCTATTAAATCATAGTAATTTTTTAACTTTGTTTCTAATAACATCAATTAATGTTACGGTAGTGATGGGTAAAGCATATAATGAATATATCTTCTTTTTTTAAGATAGAGGCAAAATTATCTAATTATTTAAAAGTATTGTGACACTTTTTATATTTGAAAACAAAATACACTTATAAAAAATACTTTATATATAAAGATGGAGGGAGTATAAGACATCTTCAACTATCTTCTTGAAACTAAGAAAAGATATTTAAGTTATTAATTTTGTCTGAAGATATAATAAACTTTTAATTTTATTCCTACTTAAATTAAAATTTTTTAAATCTATATTACATTTTTTATAATTAATAAATTTAATATAGATAATATAAATATATAATTAGTAACTCATGGCCTGCTTTATGGACCAAAAAATATTTATAGAAAGTGCCCTGTAATTGAGTCACTACGGAGTAGATGTGAGCCATTTACAAAAACTCGGGGGAAGAAAGTTGGTGAAAACGTCACGTTATTATTAAGGAGATGATTGGTGCTAACATAAGGAATAATAACACAAAAAAATTATTTTATTTATAATACCCCCATCAGTTTATTAACTTTATATAACTATAGTTTAATATTTTTTAAATAGTTTTATTTCACTTTATCCACCCAACAAGTATAATTTGAACCTCCCCGTGTTGAAGTCACTTTACCATGCTTCTACTACTACCACTTCTAGCAAAGCAAATAGAAAAATGGAGATGGGAGAAATAAATCAAATTTAAGTTCAATTTCTTAAACCTCGTGATATAAATTTTCAAGAATAAAAAATATAATATAATAAAATTTATAGTCTCTTAAGTTTTTCTGATTTATTAATTTACAGCATCACATTTATTTTTTTATTGATTTTGTCCTTTAAACTTTATTGTTTCAAAAAGTAAAAATTTTTAAAATCATAAAAACGTGTATAATCATGTAAACAAGTATAATTATTATTTAGGTTAGAAAAATCATATCCATAAATTTTAGAAAGTAAAAAAAACAAAAAATAATATAAGAGATTATGTTGATAAAAATTAAACTAATTTAAAAATTAATTTATTTTTATTTAATTATATATACATGTCAGGTCAATTAATATATTTTACACATTATATTAATTTGAGAGGTAATTTCATATTTTAAAACTTAAAAAACTAGCATTAAATTTTTAAAAATATAAAAAATTAAATTAATAAAAATTGAATTTTAAAATTGAGATAAAATTGATGTACAAAGAATTTTAAATATATAATATATATTTTTTTTGTTAAAAAATATAAAATATTTTTTAAAAATTTAAATATTAAAACATGTAAGATATTTTTATTTTTTTAAAAAATAATTTTTATTTTTTAAAAAATTATTCTTATTAAATAAATTATTTTATATTTTTTTATAGTAAAATATTTTATTAAATATGAGTAAATATAAAAAAATATAATTAATTTAAAAATAAATAATTATTTTATTAAAAATAAAATAATTAAAAATATTTTATATTTTTAAATAAAAAAAGTATATAGTTAAATTCCTCAACAAATTAGCATTAGTAATAAGCATTAAGTGTATAATTGAAAATTAAATACTATTTTAAAAAACTCCAGGGGATTGCTGTGGAGAACTCCAAGAAAGACAAGGCGGGTCAAGGAAATAAAAAAGGGCAGTGGGGAGGGGGTACTTGACATTTCACACAACTCTGCCTTTTTGTTCCGACAGCGACGCTCTCTAAGTTGTCTCACAGGCCTCCGCTACAAGAGCAAAAGGGCTGAGATTCCGCCGAGCGGTGCCCCGATCGCCCGAATCCCCCAACCCTAATCTCCAGGAGATCGGCCATGGCTTCCTCCAAAGAGCGCGAGAATTTCGTCTATGTCGCCAAGCTCGCTGAGCAGGCCGAGCGATACGATGGTTAGGGCTTCTTCTTAGTGTTCCTCTCTTAGTATGCTAATCGAGTAGATTTTTGCGCATATAATGTCTTCTTTCTGTTTTCTCATAGATTAGAGTTGTGAGCTTTACTTCGATTCCTGTCTGATCAGTATCCATATGCTTTTTTTTTTTTCGGTCTCCGTGAAGTTTGATCCCGTTTAATTCTCCGCTAATTTAGTTCCAAGGTTTAGCTTTGTTGCTTCGAATTCGTATTGGTTAGTTACTTGATTTGGATTTTGGACTAAATATGGCTGTTTTTAATTCAAAGTCGGGCCAAAATCAAGCTCGTCAAAAATTTTCTGAGATTTCAGTTAGTTTGACTTTTTCCCCGTTGAGTTATATAATGAGAGTCTGATGCAATCAAGTATCCATCGGTCCAAGCAGGATTTCATTCTTTTGAAAAAAAAATCAGTAGCTATGGTTACTTCGAATAATCTTGGGGAATTTATGATTTTGAGCAACTTCCCTGAACAATATACCTATTAGTTTTTCTCGGCTGAAAGGTTTGAATTATCCTGGGCAGTCTCTTAAGTTTTATAACCTCAACAATCAGGGCTTTAGTGTTAGCCTGAACTGCTTTAAATTCCTTACAAACATCAGATTTTGGGCAACTGCATGTTGGTTTTGGCGGGACCCATGAAATATTGTGTCATTTTGTCAACGAATTTCTTTTTTCTCCCCCTCTCAGAAGGAGTGTGTTTGGCTGTTTTATTTTGACTGCAGATTTTCAACAGTTAACTTGTTATGATTTACGAAATTTGATTTACAACATATTGTTCCTGCCTCCAATTGTAACAGAGATGGTGGATGCTATGAAGAAGGTCGCAAATCTTGATGTTGAGCTGACTGTTGAAGAGAGAAATTTGCTCTCTGTTGGTTATAAGAATGTAATTGGTGCTCGCAGAGCATCATGGAGGATACTGTCCTCAATAGAGCAAAAAGAAGAAGCAAAAGGAAATGAAGTAAATGCCAGACGGATTAAGGAATACAGGCACAAGGTTGAATCAGAGCTTTCCAACATCTGTAATGATGTTATGAGAGTGATTGATGAGCACCTCATACCTTCTGCTACAGCTGGTGAATCAACTGTGTTTTTCTATAAGATGTGAGCACTTACGTCTTATTCCCTCCTGAATATGTTGGTCTACTATGATTTGTTTTCTGTAGGAAAATAATAGCATTTCCGGTTGCAGGAAAGGAGATTATTATCGTTATCTTGCAGAGTTCAAATCTGGCAACGAGAAGAAAGAGGCAGCTGATCAGTCTATGAAAGCATATGAGGTGCAATTCAAATTCTCTGATTTATGATGTTAGCATTTTACATGATAACAGATTATTATTTGCTGGGTTCAGTTAGGACAAGTTATACCTGTTTAATATAGTTGAGGTCCATGGGAAAAATTTTCTTATTTTTTCTCGTTTTGGTTGAGTGAATAGATTTGGGGTTTTCTATTTTATTAGATTAGATAATCCAACGGACATAATGAGTTCCTTTCTCATGAGCATCATTATCCAAATTATCTTTTAATTATTGGTGCATGATTTTATTTTATTTGTTTTTTATCATGTCGAGAACACAAAGCCATGTTTGGAACCTGGATCCCATCAATATCTGGAGATTAAATAACCTTTCTTGTCAAGGCATATTGAAATTCTAGTTAATTCATTGGTGTAGCTGGCTATGCTTATGCTGAGTTTGTTTGGCCCTTTTCCTTTATCCACCACATTCCCCACTGTATCTCATAATGATATCTATCAATTGTTTTGTTTCTATCTGACAATAGGTCTGTTCAGCTTGAGAGAAAGAACTTGGAAGTTTCTTCTCTTGGCATATATTTAACCACTTTCATTTTGGAAGAGCTGTTCCTCAAATTAATTTTCTCTTATGAGTGCTGTGTCATTTGTTGCATTTATCTTCGACAACTAACGTGGTTTTGTTCCATTGTAGGCTGCTACTGCTTCAGCAGAGGCTGAATTACCCCCTACACACCCCATCCGATTGGGTCTAGCTCTAAATTTTTCGGTTTTCTATTATGAGATCATGAATTCACCTGAAAGGTTTGTAGGTGTTATTTCTTTCTGAAATGCTACTTAATGTTATTGTGTTTCATGTGGGGTTGTGATAATGTATTTTTATCCTTCCAGAGCCTGTCATCTAGCAAAGCAAGCTTTTGATGAAGCTATCTCGGAGCTTGACACCTTGAACGAGGAATCATACAAAGATAGCACGTTGATTATGCAGCTTCTCAGGGACAACCTTACCCTGTGGACTTCTGACATCCCAGAAGATGGAGGTAATTAATTTGAAAGACCAATAATTCACTCATTTTCTCATTCTTTTTCTTTCCAATTTGTTGAATAAATTTCTGAAATCATCTACGGTGCTTTTCTTATCATATGCGTTTTGATATCTTTCAGTTACTTGAAAGTGCTTAGCATGTATGTACATTCAGTTTGAGGAATTTAAATCATGTCTGTTTTCATCTACGCTGCTTTTCTTATCATATGCGTTTTGATATCTTTCAGTTACTTGAAAGTGCTTAGCATATATACACATTCAGTTTGGGGAATTTAAATCATGTCTGTTTTTTCTTTTGTACTGTCTGCTACTGTTATTGATTCTTGTATTCTTGAATCACCGATATGAAGTCTATTACTACCTCTTATGGAATTAGAAATTCACCCTTTGCATGCAAAGGAAACCACTTTTGTTTCTCAAGTGTCTTTTTTGACCGTTTCTTCATTATACTGGGACTAATTTGATGATCCCTCTTGATATTTAGTGGAACCTGGAGATTTGAATTGTTGCATTTGAAAAGCTTTCAGTAACTATAAATGTTTTCTTTGGTTGCATTGCTTCATTATTATCTTTGGTATGCTTACCATGCAGCACTTTGCTGCTTATTTTTATATTATTGAACTTGGCTATCTAGTTACGTATGTTTAGTATTAGGCGTTAGTTGATTCTGTTCTCAGTGATGTAACATAGATTTAAAAATAGAAAATGTTTTAGAAATATTGATTATAAAAGAGTAACATGCTGCTTACTAACTTACAATAGATGATCTATTTCTTAGGTAGTGTTTTTCATTCGATCTACCTTATAGTCTTTCCAGTCATGAAGTAACAATTATGTTCATGTTAAGAAAAAGTTTCTACATGCCTTTGCCATGGTGGATACCATTGGATGGAAATCGAATTTACAAATGTTATGGGCCAATAAAGAAAAGAAAATCAAATACGCAAAAGTACACTGTTATTGAAGTTTTGATATTTGCCGAGAGTTTCACATGTGCACCACGCAGTCAGTCCTTTAGAGCTTTAACTGAGGCTCTTATAAATGAAGGTAAACCTGAATTTGGTAGGTTAGGCTGCACATTGTAACTTCTTATCCTCCCCTGTTTTGTGAAAAAGCTGGGTTTTGTAAATTTTCAAATGATGATGCTTTGAGATAAATTTATCTTATGAAATATTAATGGACATTTGTTTTGGTATAGAATCTAGATAAGTGACAGTTTTCAGGGAGGAATCTGAGTGACTTTTTAATATCCTTGTGATGCTAAACTATTCATCGCTTGCTGATATCCGATTCTGCCGAAAGATCTTTGAATTGAGGAGCTAGCATTGTCAGAATCTTGTTCGTTTTTGCAAATCGCACTTGATTGTTTTGACCAATTATTACGAGGATCTTGTTCTGTTTGGCACTACTTTTCTGGCACTCTGAGTTTTGCTGCATTTTTCTCTTGCTGCTGCTACAGAAGATGCCCAGAAAGTGAATGGCACTGCCAAGGTTGGCGGAGGCGAGGATGCAGAAGTGAGTAGTTTCTTTTTTGATGATTAGATATCATTAATAATTTGTCTGATTGATCTAATATATCCATCTCATTTCATCCGTGCAGTGAGGTAGATGGGAGGTAGCACTGTTAAAGAGCTTATGTGTTCGTCCCCCAGACTCTCTTAAGACTTTATTATTTGCTGATTGTAATACTGTGAACCAGACTTAGACTGGTTCCTCTTCTTTTATTAAAAAAAAAAAAGAGCATATGTGTTCGGGGTTAGGCGTGAGGGCCTGTATCTCATCTGTGTATTAGCTAGTGGTAGGGTCGCAATTTTTAGTTTTATTTATTTTTCCCTTTCTATGTTTCTCGTCGATTGGCCACACTTCCCAGCAGGGGAAAAAACTTTGCGCCATACTATGGTCTGTTTCATTCTGTGTGGTGTTTGAAAATGGCCTGTTTCATCCCAAGCTTTCCTCCTTTTCTATTTGGGGGGAGGAGGGTTTAGTGAGAATTGTTTATGGTGTATTTTCGTGTACCAATGAAAAATGCTGCAGCCGCGTATGGAGCTACTGGTATTAAGATTCTTCCGTAATGCTTTTACGGTGTTTTTAATTTCAATCTCCAAGATTCTTAGGTTGATCTATTATACTAAAAGTGTGTGCCATGTTAATAATAACAAATAATCGCCAATCAAGTCATTAGAGGATTTGTTGACAGTGAGCACATTTACATTATTGGTCTCTCCGTCGTGCTAGAAAGTAAGGAACTTGATACTGTAGAAGATAACGTGGTGGAAGGTGGAAGCTAGACTCAAGGATCTTTCTAGTCTGTAGTTAGACTGCATATCTATGTAGTATCGTTCGAAGGATAAAGAAGGCAAAGTAGATGAGCGAAAATGGGCTTTAAGCACACTCTTCTTTCTTTATGGGTGTGTGGCAGTGTCGTCACTTTTTAACTCCTTTGAGTGGTAGAGCAGTGTCGGCACTACATGAAACCACTGGAATGTTGCTGTTGGTCCTCAACGCCCTTCTCCATTTTTGACGTTGATGAATGTTACTTGTATTAGTCAACAAATTTTTCTTCATGAGGGAAACACTCGGCCGGGTAATTTTTCTTGATGAATGTTTATATAAAATTTGAATCTAGGAATTTCTATTTAATTATACAGATGTTTAATTAATGCTACACCTGACACGTTCAACAAATTAATAGTAAACAGAGTACATAGGAATACCGAAGGTGAATGATTCATTTCTTACTTTCTTGGTACATTTTAAGTCGTGCTAAGAGTATCCAGAATTGAATTTCTTATGCCATGATACTGTATGACTTGCATCGAAGTGTATAAAGACCAATAATAGCTAGCATTCTTAGCGATAGCAATTTTCATTTGGACAAAAATAAGTAAAATTCTGTAACATTCATGTAGTAGTTTAAAATCACACTATAAGATGCCCGTAAGTAAACAAAATATTCAAGTTATCGAGACCAAAAAAAAAAAAATTAACCGTACACCAAACTTTCATTCCCTTTGGGCTCAACCACTTGGACATGGAAATAATATTGATGTAACGTTGCGCATGTATTCAGTATTCTCCAGCTACTGATGTAATCAAACTTTTACCTCGGCAAAATATTAAAGAATAAGGTAAAAACTAACAACGGAAACGTCTAGCAATATCGTTATCGTTAGAAGTTAAAGTATGTTAAAAAAAAAAACGAACCACCGCGTTCAGTTAGAGGCGAGCGAGACGGAATCCATAGTCGAAGCACAGTCAAGAGCATCGCTGCCATTGATCCTCCTGCGCTTGGGCGCCATTTTCCTGGCTCGCCGGCTATTCTGCGAAGCTTTAGGGAGGAGGCCACTGAGTATATTAGCATCCATTGACTTTTCAGAAGTCTTGGCTCGAGAACTGGTCTGCAAGTGTCTGGTGACTTGCGGTTTTTGATCGAGAGGCGGGGAGTTCTCTGTACAAGAATTGAGACTGTAAACGGAGGTAACACAGCACTCTTGCCAGCCTAGGTCGTTGAGATCAACGATTACATCCTCGAGTGCGAGAGTTGCGGAGGCAGACACACTCTGGCTGAGTGTGGATCGCCGCAAATCCATAAGTTCAAGCGCATTCACAGAATCGACCAGAACTTTCTGTGAAATCAATTAGAAACCAATGATAGACGGCTACGGTTTTTCTGCATGATATTTCAATTTGAATTTCTTGAAAAGTAGTAAACTGAACAGAAAACCAGTAACATTTCTTTCATTTCAATTTTATCGGCAGCCAAACAGAGACACAACCAGCATGTGCGAAGAGAAAGTGTATAACCTTGGTTTGTTTGTGGAGTTTCCTGAAGCCGTGGATAAAGATGATCTGCAAAATCAATCAAAGGTCGTGGATGAATAACTTCCGAATCGAACACGGAAATAGACAAGGAATTAACCAATAAATAATAATGAATAAGAGGAAAAGAAAACCTGATTGAGATGGTTCATACTGAGATCAACCGCTTGGAGAGAGTGAAGGAAATCGAGGTAGTCCTCCAAAGATAACTTGTCTTTCTTCACCGGTCGTTTTCTGGAGCTGGTCTTGCTCGCTTGAGTTTGCATTTGGGTGTGCGTATGCGATTGCCACTCCATTATCGTTCACAGCAGCTCTGAGTGAGAGAAAAAAGTGAAAACTGAAAACTAAGAAAGGAATACAAGTGAGGGAAATGGAAATCAGATGTGAATGAGGCGTATTTATAGGACCTTCCGTTTCACGTGAGTTCGTTGAGTTTGTTATATCTTTTTTGATTTTTTTTTCCTTCGTCACAATTAGTTTGTTATCTCCTGCATCTCTCTCCTTGGCGACTACCAGTAGTAAATAATAACTGATGCCATATTTTTTAGTAAAATAATAATTGATAACGATGGAATATAAAACACAACTTATTCAACAGCCACCTTGCAAAAAATTAATATTTTTTTGAAATGATATGTTGGTCAATTCTAGTAATATATCCTTTAATTTTTTTAAAAAAATGTTATACGATTTTTCTCATAGCTTTTATATTTTATTTTTCCCCAAGTTCAATAATTAAAACATAATAAATTTAATACAAATATTAGTTTATAAACCAAAAACATTAACCACAGCTTCTACTGTCAGTTAATTCGATCGCCCGCAGTGTTCCGATAACCATCAATGGTGGTGATAAAGAGCATTTTGATAATTAACCATAAACATAATACATCAGATAAGTTCCTCAATCCTGTAGTGAAATTTTAAAATGTTTTGATCCTAACTTTCAATTCTCCCTATTTAAAAGTTGTATCATTTTAGCAAGCTAGCTGATAACAGTATTGATACTGACGGCAAGTGTTCAATTATAATTTACTGACAAATTATCAAGGGAAAATGATAATAAAGTCTCAAAAGATTAATTTTATACGAGTTAAGTCCCAACTAATTCTAAAAGGCTAATAAAGTCCCAGAGTCCTTAAATGGTATTTTGATATCACAGGAAAAGACCGAAACACCCTTCTTCAAGTAAAAGCTCGTTTTCTTCTCTGCTTGAACGAGTCTCAGTGTGCGACGCGAAGCTCTGTTCTCTGGATCTGCATTCTTTGATCCATACGGTGAACGAGGGCTTAGTTAGGCCAGGGGAGATTGATGTTTCTGGGGGCAGCACGCATAGCCGGCAACTGAGAGTTGAACACTTGAAGGAGAAGACGGAAACGTTGGCGGCGGTGACAGAAGTGAGAATCCAAATTTTAAAGGATAAAGCTCCAGTAATTTGCAAGTGAGGAACTAAATTTTGCAATGCCCTTAGAAACAATTTGCAACTAGTACTCCAAATTTTGAATCGAAGAACTATTAAATTCGTTGAAGAGTTAAATCCTTTAGGACAAAGCTCCAGTAATTTGCAAGTGAGAAACCAAATTTTGCAATGCCCTTAGAAACAATTTGCAACTGGTACTCCAAATTTTGGATCGAAAAACTATTAAATTCATGGAAGAGTTAAATCCTTTAGGACAAAGCTCCAATAATTTGTAAGTGAGAAACCAAATTTTGCAATTCCCTTAAAAACAATTTGTAACTATTACTCGAAATTTGGGATCGAAGAACTCTGACTTGTGAAAAACAACATGAGACTTTTTTGGCCTTTTAGAATTACTTGGGACTTAACTGGTATAAAATTAGTCTTTTGGGACTTGCAAATTTTATACCAGTTAAGTCCCAAGTAATTCTAAAAGGCCAATAAAGTCCCATGTTATTTTTCACAAATCAGAGTTCTTCGATCCCAAATTTCGAGTACTAGTTGTAAATTGTTTCTAAGGGAATTGCAAAATTTGGTTTCTCACTTGCAAATTACTGGAGCTTTATCCCAAAGGATTTAACTCTTCCACGAATTTAATAGTTCTTCGATCCAAAATTTGGAGTACTAGTTGCAAATTATTTCTAAGGGCATTGCAAAATTTGGTTTCTCACTTGCAAATTACTGGAGCTTTGTCCTAAAGGATTTAACTCTTCAACAAATTTAATAGTTCTTCGATTCAAAATTTGTAGTACTAGTTGCAAATTGTTTCTAAAGGCATTGCAAAATTTAGTTTCTCACTTGTAAATTACTGGAGCTTTATCCTTTAAAATTTAGGTTCTCACTTCTGTCACCGCCGCTAACATTTCCGTCTTCTCCTTCAAGTGTTCAACTCTCAGTTGCCGGCTATGCGTGCTGCCCCCAGAAACATCAATCTCCCCTGGCCCAACCAAGCCCTCGTTCACCGTATGGATCAAAGAACGCAGACCTAGAGAACAGAGCTTCGCGTCGCACACTGAGACTCGTTCAGGCAGAGAAGAAAACGAGCTTTTACTTGAAGAAGGGTGTTTTGGTCTTTTCCTATAATATCAAAATACCATTTAAGGACTCTGGGACTTTATTGGCCTTTTAAATTAGTTGGGACTTAATTCGTATAAAATTGATCTTTTGAGACTTTATTGTCATTTTCCCAATTATCAAATTCTCAACCATAACAGAAACTTTCCAATATTATTGATATATTGAAAAATTATAAACCTTAATAGTTAATACAATGAAACTATTCAAAACTTCGTCAATTTATTAAAAGCATTTTAAACTCTCCAACCTATAAGGTGGAAATGTAGGTTCGGATTCAAGCTTAACAATATTTCTTCAGTAAAAGAAACTATTTTCTCTTCCCTTTTTCGAGATGATGCTTCAATTAGTTGTTGTAGGTCCATCCTGGGGCTTTTGTTTCCGTGACTCATTAATCAATGGTTCCGAAATGACAAGTTAGACCATCCAAAAAAAAAAAAAAGAGAAGAGAATTGCCAAACTAGACATTATTCACAGAATCAAACTAGACATTATTCACAGAATCTAAACTATAATATCAAGTACTAGCTTGATGCCAAATAATGGCTCCCAGCCAAGCCTCATAATCATTTTCTTTCTCCATCATCTTTTTCTCTGTCTCACTCTTAAGCAACATAACGGAAGGTACAATAATTAATTTTGGACGCTTTTTACAGCCTTCTCTTCCTGCCATGTTCCTAATTTCCAAATTTTCCAAATTTGAGTTTTTAATTATTGCTGTGATAAAGCTGGCATGAGGGATCATGCCATAGAGAAACACGCCCAAGAAAAGAAGGAAAAAAATTTACATTTATAATTGAAAATCCTATTCAACAAGAAAATGGTTCTTCTGAGGTTTATCTGCCTAAAGCTCTGAAAAATTTGTATGCACCTTGTGTATCAAGGTAAAAACTGATCCTCCTAATATTTCTGAACTAAGGAGAGTTTTGTGCATTCTTGGAGCACCTTCTTCAACTGGTATGGTTTGGCCGAGTCACCTGTGAGTTAAAAAAATTTAACGGGTATAAATTATGGAAGCTACAGACTACTACAATTCCTCAAAGAGTCCTCCAACAACTGATGGCTTGGCCTTATCATCTCCATCACCTTCTCTCCATTTGTATATATTCTGAAGGTAGGCACAGTTCTTATGTTCTCAGCTTTTGCTATACTCACACACTCTTCCACATCCACCTGAAAAGTTAATTTTGGACCAAACTAAAAAGCATGAAGTGTAATTTGCATAAAAAATAACCACCAAAACTGCAGGTGTGACACCAAATGATTCTTCAAATTTTGCCATATTACAACGTGTGTATATCTGGGTTGTTTCCTGTGTCAGTGTTTAGCATCATCAGTGTTTGTACCTCTCAAAAGGGCATTAAAAGTGTACCTTGATGAATTTAACAGATGGGTTCCGAATGCAGAGCTTATTTATGAAAGGGGATATTTCTTGGCATAGTTCATTAGATCCCTCTTTAAAATGAACCACTGAGATGCCTGAAAGTTGACATTTTCGCTTTAGACAAAACCAACGAGGCAAGAGAAATCCTGAATTAACACTGCTGGGGAGAGAATAACAAAGAGTTGAAAATACCAGAAGCAGTTGCAGCTTTGAATCTATCAAATGTAGAGACCTCTTCAACCTCAACACCAAGCTTTGAACCACACTCTTCCCCGCGACATTTCCTCAATGCCAGCTGAGCCTGACGGAGAGACTCAGCAACTTCATTGTCTCTGGGAAGTTGACCCTTTAATGCTTCATAATCTCTTACAGCATCTATCCACCTTTCAAGCTGATGCAAAATTTATGAAACACTTCATTTTAGTCAACAGAACAGCAGCAATCATCCTTCCAACCAGGGCTCAAGTCTTCTTATAATTTACTCAAAAATAGAATTCACAATTAGACAAAGCCAACACTTTGAACTGTAATGCCCAAAAAGAAGGAAAAGAAATAAACAAACAACACAGGCACATTGCAAAAGGGTTCACCTTTGAATTTGAGGCAGCCCTACGGAAAAGGGCCTTGGTGCAGTTTGGTTGGATGCGCAAAGCATGGTTGCAGTCCTCAACAGACTTTTCCCACAGCCCAAGTTTAGACCAGCATACAGCTCTATTGCAGAACAGAACATAGTTGGAACTATCATATTTGAGGCCTTCTCCATAAGCAGAGCAAGCTTCAGAAAATTTTCCACATCCAAAGAGATCGTTGCCTCGAGAGCGAGCTCTTGCCACCATTTTCACAGTATTCACTACTTTTGCAACTTCCACGTTGCTATAATCTATCAAACTAGCCTTTTCTGCTTCTGCTACTGCATTCTCAAACCTGCAAAAAAAGAATCATTTTTTCCTCATTCACCTAAAATTCATGTCTATTTTTGCATTGGAAGTTGATGATTTTTACCTTCCTAAGGCCATCTCAACCTGAGCTCGAATAAAAGGAACATATGCTTCACCAACCATGCCAAAGAACTTGGCTTGAGACCATATCTCCAGGTTTGGAATGTTTGAGAGGGTAGACTCAGCATCCTCGAGTAGATGAAGTTTCAAATAGGCTTCGGCTTTGCAAGCAACAAGCTGCAAGTAAAACTCGCTCAAGTTAGGGAATAGAAACTATATGTGGAGTATCACTGAGAATTCCAAATTATATATGTTTACATGTATCATGTATGCGTAAGAGTAGACTATACCTGAGGTGAGCAATCTGCTCCAACAGCAATGGCTGCGCCTGATTCCCTAAGTGCGCTCTTCCAATCACCAACCTTACGTGCTTCCGCACATCGTTTAAGATGCTTCTCCAATAACCTCAACTTGTGCAGTTCAGATAGATCCACCTGTTTTCCAGGGAGACAGAGGTGGCTCTGGGCATTCTCAACCTGCCCAAAGCTGAAGAAATTCCACATCTAAAATGTTAACCTGAATTAAATGAGCCCGCAAAAATTTCGATATTCCAAAGATAAATATAACGTTATACTACATGCTTTGACGAAGGAAAAGGTTACTGCAGAGCAGAACAAGAAATTCTTGTCACAATATCGAATGAATAAGCAAAGAAAAACAGTTCGAACATAAAAGATAAGGCTGAAAATTAGGAAAACTATTCAAGTTTCACAGTAACCAGCACCAAATCCACGTGACAGATGCCAAAACTAAAATCATCATTCACATATCAAAAGGAGGTCAGAGATAAAAGATGAGCAAATCAGTACTTGTCCATCAACGACATAATCAAGAGAGAAGCAACTTATGGAAGCATAGATATGATACAAGTAGCGTGTGATAAGTTGAACAAGATCCATCTTTATAATCAATGAAAAAAAAAAATCTGATAGGAGTAGAACGGAGCACTAACCGCAGATAAAGTGAAGCAAGTCTCTGATGAGCCCTGGCATAACCAGGGTCCAATTTCACAGCCTCCTCACACTCCTTTGCAGCCGCAGCCAACTTCCCCAGTGCTGTCAACGCTGCCGCACGGTTACTCCGATAAGCAGGATTTTTGGGCGATATGGAAATTGCGCGATCGTATAACGACAATGCCTCCGCAAAGTAACCGCTTCTGTAGAGCTCATTTCCAGCTTTTTTCACCCCCTCAGGATCAGAGTCACTCATTGCCCGCTTCACAATGCCCGAAACCCCTCCGAGCTGAGAATTCCCGCTGACATTGTCATCGACGATAATGTGCCTTCCATTTCCCAATTTCCCGCCACCGCACATTATGTTGCCTCGGCCGTAGTTTACCGCCCCTAAACCCAAAACGTCAGTTCTATTGGGCGTTCGAGGCGCCAAACAGGTTTTTGAGATCTTCCCCGTCGGACAAATATTGCCGGCCGGGAGCAAATTAGTCCCTGAAGTTGCACCATTTGAATGACTGTTATTCACCGAGCCGCTAAAACTTCCCCTGGAGTATATTAAAGGGGCTCCAGCTGAAACTGATCTCCTATGACCCGGCTTGGTGTGCCGGGATGCCGAAGCGGATCGAAGGCTCTCGGAGGCGTTCGAGTTGGTCTCACGGGACTCGCCGCAGTTGTTGCTGGGCTTCCCGTCTGGTTTATTGGGCAACTTGGCTATGGCATTTCTGCTGCCGGAAACTGAACCTGCAGAGGAGCTCGAGCTGCAGCTGGAGGTGTTGGAAGCGCCGGCGCAGGCAGGATTAACTGAAGCGCGGGTTTTCAATGGAGAAACAGGGGAACCCAGATCGAGTTCTTTAAAATCAGGCTTGTTTTCGTCAGAACTCAACAAATCGCGGAATCGAGTAGCGAGAGAATCGAACCCCAGTCCCCGCATCGACTTCCCAGTCTGCGACATTCTTTTTGTCTCTTATTCTGCGTTGTTTGACCCAAAAATCATTCCCCGAAATACGAGCCCCAGTTACTACAAGAAGAAAATACCAGCGAATCCGATATGTGCAGGACAGAAAAAACTTGAAAAGGAAGATAATGGTAGAAGGAGCATATGGGGATTAAGAAACAGAGACGGCGTGTGAGAAGAGAACTGGGAGAGTGAGAAATTGTAAGAGAGGGGATAGCGTCCCGTGAGGAAGCAAAGAACGTATATATGAAGGTAGGCTAGAAAGAGTAAATGACAGGAGAGGGAGAGAGAGAAGTACCGTCCCGTATTTTTCTTTGTGATTCTCCCTCTTTCCCTCGCGTTTCCCTTCCCGAGCTGTTAAGGATATTTCTACGTTTCCTTCTCTCTCCTTTTAAACACGATGACGACGGACCACCCCCATGAACAGGAAGCATTATTACATAATTTGCATTTCCACTTTCTATCCATGCCCATAATTTTCGGTATTCTTATTTTTAGCCCCCTTTTATAACCCCAATCACCCTGCAAAAAGATAATTCATAAAATTTGAGAATCTAAATCATTAATTATGTTGGGATAGTAGTGACGGTATTTCCATGTAATAGTAATGTATGTGATGATTAGAGAGCATTAACTTTAGTGTGAGTAAGGAAAATAATAAAGTGTAGTGTCAATGGATGGTAAGGCTTTTAATTTTGAATCTCCTAACTTGATTTTATGTTTTATGATAAAGTACAAAATTTGCTGTCCTACCGAGATTGAATAGACATTATTTGTAGAGCCGATTCCGGTGCTACACTACGCAGAGAGAAGTGCTTACGTGTACTTGATGTCCACAGTTAAATTTGGCGGGCATTCAGGCATGAGATTCCGCACTGCTTGGGGCATGTACCAACGGAACTGCATGCACTATCATAATAACATCATTTCGACCCGTTGATTCAATTGTTACGTAATTCTATTTATAAATTATTTTTATTAATTTCATTAATATTAATATAATAAAAATATAAAGAATAAAATTTTATAAAATTATAAAGATAATACTCAAAAGATAGATAAATTATATAATATTTTTTTTATTTTTCTCTCTCTTACTTTTTAAAGGAATTTAGATGTTTCATTTAAAATAAAATATCATTATCAATCTAATAACTTATAAAGTAAATCACTTCATTTTTTTAAAATGTAACCTATAAAGTAAATCGGAGGAGTACTTGGTAATTCATTGATAATTTTTTTTAAATAATAATATATATATATATATATATATAATTATCATAATTAGTTAACTATTAAAATGAGACCAGAGAACCTAAAACAATTTATACTATTCACTATTTATGTACAGCGCTACTATCGTTGCACGCACAAATTGTTTTATATTAATGGATAATAGTTACCTTTTTTTTAAGCACAAAGAGAAAGTGCCGCCGATAGCAAAAATATCTTCCCATCATACTGAAAACAATAGATAGATATCTCGCAATTAAATTAATGCATACAATGGCTATCGTGATGTTTATTTTTAATGTGCTGACACATGTAATCCATTAGTTACTTCATATGTTATGCGCTATTGCTCGATCTTCCTTTGCTTTTGAATATGTCAGCAACATTAATTTGAAATTTTAGTGTAGAGCTTTTGAGAAAGGGAAAATCACAAGAAGGACCCTTGAAGAAATATATTCACAATTAAAAATTAACAAATTCTGATTTAACATTGTAGTCCTTAAGGCCCTAACCATAATTAATTGTGATTGTAAAAATACATCCTAATTGTATCTTTGATGAATTATAAGGAAATTATTTCTTGTTAAAATATGATGGGGTGTTGCTGTTTTGCAAACAGTAACTTATTTGCCACATGAATACACTCAATTCTATTAATATAAATGATTTATTTTGAACTTGTTATTATGAAAATTATTTATTGTTAAAATGAAATAAAGTGTTGTTATTTTGTGAATGTTGACTTGTTCACTGCATGAATGCACTTGCTAATGGAAACATTTTTATTACAGGAATTATTTTTTATTAAGATGAAATGGAGTGTTATTATTTTGTGAATAGTGACTTGTTTATCACATGAATATGCTTGGTTCTATCAATAAAAATGACTTTATTCTAGACTTGCCACTATATGAATTATTTCTTGTTAAAATAAAATAAAGTGTTATTATTTTATAAATAATAACTTATTTATGATAAGGATATACTTGATGAAGGGCAATTACATATTTTTACAATCATGATCAATTACAATTATGATTTTAGGACTGTAATGTTAAATTAAAATTAATTAGTTTTTAATTGTGAATATGTTTCTTGGTTGTGATTTTTCCTTTAAAAAAAGTTTCGCTGTGAACTGATATTATATTATTTTTATTTCCCTTTTCAGGCTGATTTAGTTCACACATTTGATTTTGAATCCATCTTGGCACGCGCATGCAGGACGTGCAATAAATGTATACACAAAAAGAAAAACATCTTTATTATTGGTATTTTATTAGCCGTAAAAGTTATTGAGAAACTTAGTTACCATGAATACTATTAAATGAGGCGAAGAACGGTTCAAACTTCAAGGTCACCTTCTTGCTTAATCATGTTAACTTGGCCCAATTATTGGCTTCATACAAATATGAAACGCATATAAAATTTAGTCCTCTGCTTCATTTTATTTTTCTGCGGATACAGTACGCCACATGTATTAATATTTGGTTTAATCATAATATGTTAGTCAAACCTAAAACTCTTTTTCATCATTTATTAGGTAGAGTATATATATATATATATATGTCCCCGGCTAGTGCATGGTGCTCCTGCCAACTTAAATTATAAGATATTTTTAAATAAAATTTTATATATTAATAAAATTCATTAAATATACTTTAAAATTTTACATTTTTAAAGTAAAAATATAAACTTTAAAAAATATCCTTCATTTAATATTCAATGAAATAATGTTAAAAAAATAATATATAAAAAGGATAATATTAAAAAAAATATCATTAATGGAACCTTATTTTTATCAAATGGTTTTATATTTTAGGACATTGAATATTTTTAAAAAGTGTTTAATAATTTAAAATGGAGGGAGTATTTTTTAAGGGTAAAGTTTAAAAACCAAAACAATTTTCAGATAATTTTAATGATCTAATAAACGACAATAGTGAGTGTATGACCTGGTCTGGACGTTTGGTTGGGTGAAATTGTTTTACCGTGAAAGTTGCTTAATATAAGTTAACAATAAAATATATACATATATATATATATAACAAACGATCATAAATATTTTAAAAAAATGCCATATATATTACTCTTTTTTTAGCTAATATAATACATCTTTGCTTCCTATGATTAAGATTAGAAATTTATTAAGTTTTGCGAGCATATGAAGAAGGATAGTATGGTTGCTGGAAATAATGAATGGCAAACATGTCCTCAGGTAACGAGACACCGACTATTCACATCACTACATTTGAAACGCGCTTGTCGATCACTGGTCACAATAATTCAAGCACCAACATTATCAGAATATCAATAATTTTCATCTACCTTTTCCTATCTCTCATAAACCTAATAACAAACAACTCTTGAACTTTAAAAACTATTCACCAGTTTGTTTATAACATTATACATTTGTCATGCTATCATACGAATTAATAATCCATCTGATGAATATAATATTTCCTCTAACTCAATTTATAAAACGCTTTTGAAAAACATTTAACATCTTAAAATATAAAATATTTTAACAAAAATAATATTTTATTAATGATATTTTTTAACCTAACATTTCTCATTATATTTTCTCACAAATATCATAAAATATAAATTATTAAATGAATAGTATTTTTATAAGTTTATATTATTTTTTTAAAAAATAAATTTATAAAATATATTTAATAAATTTATCGTTAATGTGTGATATTATTTAAAAATATCTTGTAATTAGAACAGTGTGAAAAGTATCATGCCTAAATGTAAGACCTTAATTTTCCTTGTTCCTCCATTTAATATTTTTTTACCCAAGTTACCCAATTAATTGCAACGTTTCCAGCTCTCAATTTTCTACATAGAAATGAAAATTTAAGTCAAAATGCAGATATGATAAACTCCCAAGATGTTCCAATGTGAACAAATCTGGAAGGGAATAAAAATTGCATTTTTTGTAAAGGAGAAAGAAATTGCACCACTAAATCACTAATTAAACTAAAATGTTTTAAAAAAATGTCTTATCAACGGGAAGCAAAAGTCTTGGAAGGACAGAATCATTGAGGACACTCTCCAGCTTCCATGCTTTTGCTTTGTGGATGACAGATATGCAGAGGTTTGACCTGTTGACCAGAAAAAAGCGTGAAATAAAATAGTGAAGTGAGTGATGAACACCGAGAAAGAGAGACAAAATGCAAGGTGAAATTATTTATAATGAATCATTTGAATTTTTGAACTTATTATCTTAAAAATTCAGATTAAAATTTTATTCTTAACTGTTTTGTTTAAAATTCTAGATATTTTTTTAAAAATTAAGTATATTTATTTTATCTTTTCTAAATTCTAATTCATGTTGAGCCGGCGATGTCGGTGAAATTTAGAGCAAGGATTGTGACAATTCAATCAACTTTGAGGCAGCGCCAAACGTTGACGCTGCAAATCATTTTATTTCAATTTTATAGATTTTAAAAGACATTTACCGTTGTCACATGTATAAGAAGTTTTATAAGAAGTTTAATCATATTGAGTTTCTATAATTGTAATAAAAATTATTTTTAAAGTTGTTATCTTCTATTAATTTAAATAATAAAATTTTATGTCTTTAGTAAAAACTTAAAATTAGTTATTTATAAATAAAAATATTATTTTCATATTCTCATATCACTTATATTCAAATATTTTAAAAAAATAAAGATATTCGTGTGAAAAAAGCTGGGTAATTGGATGAGAATTCAGGGGGGGAAATAACCATCTGAATTACTAAATAACTAGACACGCATGTTTGGTGCTGTTAAGCCTGATGAATGAGCTGTTAGAAAACTAATAGAGTACAAAGAATATAATAGATGAAGGTTCAATATCCACATCGTATAAATAAAAATTATGATTAAGGATTTAATGAACACGAACTAATTTTTGTTGAATTGTCTAGTTTTACAAAGGGGGCCAAAAAACAACCTTTCGTCCGTCTTCGTACAGGCAAGTGTAATCAATTGTCAAACTCAAAGCTTCAAATCTTGTTCTTGACCTAAGAGAATGAATTTATTCTTGTCTTCGAAAAAAAATAAGAGAAAGAGGGAGAGAGATTTTTAATTAAGTCTATTTGCAGCGCTAACAAAAAAA